ATCTTCTGTGATTAAAAAAAAAACTGTGTTAGAGACACATACTGAAGTATTTATGGTTGAAATGATACTATACCTGGGTTTTGTCAAAATAACCCAAGAGGGTTTGGGCAGAGGTAGGGGTGAAATAAGCTTAACTGTGTGTTGATAATTGTTGGGCTGGATAGTGGACACATGGGTGCTCATTACATTATTCCCCACGTATATGTTGAAAGTTCCCTGCAATAAAAGTTTAAAAATTATAGTACCAAAGGAGTATTAAAATATTTCTGTTTTCCCAAGCATATTAACAGATTGGATTAAATAAGCTGTCTTTAAGTTAAAGAGTTGTAAGTATAGGCCGGGCACGGTGGCTCACGCCTGTAATCCCAGCACTTTGGGAGGCCGAGGCGGGCAGATCACGCAGTCAGGAGATCGAGACTATCCTGGCCAACATGGTGAAACACCATCTCTACTAAAAATACAAAAATTAGCTGGGTGTGGTGGCATGCATCTGTAATCCCAGCAACTCTGGAGGCTGAGGCAGGAGAACTGCTTGAACCCAGGAGGCAGAGATTACAGTGAGCCGAGATTGCGCCACTGCACTCCAGCCTGGCGACAGAGCGAGACTCCATCTCAAAAAAAAAAAAAAAAAAAAAAAGTTATAATTGAGTTTCTTTAAAAGTCTTGGTAAAGCCCCTGGTCTACTTCCCAAGTCCTGAGAAAGTGAATAACCTAATGTTTGCATGCATAATAAATTCTCCAAATTAGGTAATTATTTTTTTTTTAATTTTTGCTTTCAACAAAGTTGGAGAACCTATTCATGTTATAACTTATTATAAATCATTGAATTTTTTTTTGGATTAGTAACTAAGGAGTCCTAAGAAATGGGTGACATTGCTATAACAAAACACCTCAATGTTTCTTGGAGCTTACAGTTATAAAAATGAAAAATAGAAATAGAATTGGTCATGAGCCCCATCTCATTCTAGCAAGAATATTTATCTACAATGTTTTTAAACCTTCATTTTAAAAGACCTTCATTTGTCTTATCAATAAATGCATTTCATTAGACACTTATGACAAAATAACAAAAAAAAGAAATGCATTTTGAATATCTTTTAGAATTGTCAAGATGAAATATTACATTACTGGGCCGGGTGCAGTGGCTCACGCCTGCAATCCCAGCACTTTGGGAGGCCGAGGTGGGCAGATCACGAGGTCAGGAGTTTGAGACCAGCCTGGCCAATATGGTGAAACCTCGTCTCTACTAAAAATACAAAAATTAGCCGGGCATGGTGAAGGGCTCCTGTAATCCCAGATACTCGGGTGGCTGAGGCAGGACAATTGTTTGAACCTGGCAGGCGGAGGTTGTGGTAAGCCGATTGCACCATTGTACTCCAGCCTGGGCAACAGAGCAAGACTCCAACTCAAAAAAAAAAAAAAAAAATTACTGCAATCAAATATGCACTAAAACTGTAACTATGCAAGACGTTTTTCTGGATTGGGTTAATAGGCTTATGGTCACAGAAAACAAATTTTTATTTTTGTTACAGATAACAAAGATAAGATATCCTTTAAAATATTTCACTAGGATGAAATTCTGAAGGAAGCAGAGTAGAAAAAAAACCCAAAAACCGTTAAATTTGTGAAGAGTTTAAATTTCCAGGGCCAGGCATAGTGGCTCACACCTGTAATCCCAGCATTTTGGGAGGCTGAGGTGGGCAGATCACTTGAGGTCAGGAATTCGAGACCAGCCTGGCTAACATGGCGAAATTCCGTCTCTACTAAAAACATAAAAAATTAGCCGGGCATGGTGGCAGCCGCCTGTAGTCCCAGCTACTCAGGAGACTGAGGCAGGAGAATCACTTGAACCTGGGAGGCGGAAGTTATAGTGAGCCGAGATCACGCCACTGCCCTCCAGCCTGGGCGACAGAGCAAGACTTCTGTCTCAAAAATAAATAAATAAATAAAATAAAAAATAAATTTCCAACTAAGAGCTTTGTTCATGTACCTTTAAAAATGAATGAAGGTGGGTTCCATTAGATATTTTTATGACGTAATTTTTATCTTGAAATTCACATGCTAGCAGGTACTCTATGATTTAAATATTAAAAATGCATTTGTCAAACTTAAAATGTGTGAAGGGATGTATACGTTTTCCCAAATTATTTTCAGGGATACACAGGCAAAAGAATGAGCAGCAGGGCTGTGACGACCCCGGCTCCCTCCCTGTTGGTGCAGTGGCACCACCAGCAGCAGCTGGGACTCCATGGCATTCACTCCGCCATTGCTCCACGTTCCATCTTACTTTCCTACTTTGATTTTTTTTTTTCCTTTTTCCTTTCTTTCTTTCTTTTTCTTTTTCTTTTTTTTTTTTTTCTTTTGTGAGACAGGGTGTTGCTGTTAAGCAGGATGGAGTGCAGTGGTGCAATCATGGCTTGCCGCAGTCTCAACCTCCCAGGCTCAAGCAATCCTTCTGCCTCAGTCTCCTAAGTAGTTGGGACTACAGGTGCGTGCCACCACGCCGGGTTAATTTTTGTATCTTTGGTAGAAACGGGGTTTCAACATGTTGGCCGGCTTGTCTCCAACTTCTGATCTCGAGCGATCCACCCGCCTTGGCCTCCCAAAGTGCTGGGATTACAGGCGCGATCTCGGCTCACTGCAAGCTCCACCTCCCGGGTTCACGCCATTCTTCTTGCCTCAGCCTCCCGAGTAGCTGGGACTGCAGGCACTCGCCACTACGCCCAGCTCATTTTTTGTATTTTTAGTAGAGATGGGGTTTCACCATGTTGGCCAGGATGGTCTCCATCTCCTGACCTCGTGATCCGCCCGCCTCGGCCTCCCAAAGTGCTGGGATTTACAGGCGTGAGCCACCGCGCCCGGCCGATAAGCACTTTTTTTTTTTTTTTTTTTTTTTTTTTTTGAGAGAGTATCGTTCTGTCGCCCAGGCTGGAGTGCAGTGGCGCGATCTCGGCTCACTGCAGCCTCCACCTCCCAAGTTCAAACAATTCTGCCTCAGTCTCCTGAGTAGCTGGGACTACAGGCATGCGCCACCACGCCCAGCTAATGTTTTTTGTATTTTTAGTAGAGATGGGGTTTCACCGTGTTGGCCAGGATGGTCTCGATCGATCTCCTGACCTTCTGATCCACCCGCCTTGGCCTCCCAAAGTGCTGGGATTACAGGCGTGAGCCACCACACCCGGTCCTGATAAGCACTTTTCTAACTCCCTTGATTTCTTTGCAGTACAATATAGAGCATGTTATTAAAATATTTCAGGTTTCAATAACAAAGCTACTAGACAGCATCCTTTCCATTTCAGAATGAGAAATGTGGGGCTCAGAAGGGTACCTTCCAGAGTCCCACCAGGAGAGCCATGCTCTTCCCCTCACTCTTCCTCAGAGGTGCATGGGGTCATCTCCAGCCACTCGCACAAATCATTACCTCCAATTTTTCATTTTCCCTATTTTAGAATTATTCCGTTTCTCCCCTTTTTTCAACCTGTCATTAATTTTCCAATATAGTCTGGCCACAGTTTACCAACACAATAGGATGCTTATGTGCATGTGTATATGTTTAAATAAGGCGGCCCTCTAACAAGGAAGCCTTTTTATTTATTTATTTTTTTTTTGAGATGGAGTCTCGCTCTGTCTCCCAGGCTGGAGAGCAGTGCTGTGATCTTGGCTCACTGCAACCTCCACCTCCAGCTTCCAGCGGTTCTCTTACCTCAGCATCCTGAGTAGCTGGGATTACAGGCACACGCCACCACACCCAGCTAATTTTTGTATTTTTAGTAGGGGTTTCGTCACGTTGGCCAGGCTGGTCCTAAAACTCCTGACCTCAGGTGATCTGCCCGCCTCGGCCTCCCAAAGTGCTGAGATTACAGGCGTGAGCCACCACGCCGGCCCCTTTTCTTTTATTACTGCTGTGGTTTACTTTTTCCACACTCAACATCCCCTAGTCTTTTCTGGTGACTTGCATGTAACATAGAAATCCCGTAAGGGGCACACTCTATGTGCTCAGGTCAACAAAGGTTAAATGCTGTTGCAATTTTAAACTTTCTACCATTTGTCAATCAGAGTTAAGTGACATGTAATGTTTGCTTCCCACAACCCCCTTCTTTTTATGGTGAAGATAACCTAAGCATATTCATTAAAAAGGCTAAAGTCACAAATTCACATATTAAAAATCACTCTGAGACATTCAGTGATTTGATGGTGGACTTGTTTTCTCCTTTAAAAGGGGTTGTTTGCTGTTGTGGTTTTAACTATTACATCTCACTCTAGTCAAGGTGTTTAGCAAACTGTTAACAATGAAACTGAGAAAAACACAAACATGAACAAATGACCTTTTATTTCATACAGAGATACAAAGGCAACTGTGTGCAGCAACAATCTGATGGGCAGTCCAAACTCTTGGGAGGAAGTAAATTCATGGTAAATGTCATGATGGCTGGTTGAGGAGAAGGTCAAAGGAGGAGAGGGAGGAGACAGAGAATGCTACAGCTAATAAATAACAGTAATGAGAACTGCGTGGTTTCAACACCATGAGTTTGTTGGGGCATCTTCGATGCTACTAAAGCCACAGTTCTGTATCATCATCACCATCAACATTCTTGAAGTGCATTTTACACTATTCTGCATTAGCAGTCATGTTGAGGGAACTATAATCCTTACAAGTAACTGACGCATTTTATTAAAGGAGCTCTAAACTCTGCTCATGACTGCCTGTCTTGGATGTGGCCTTTGGGATTGATAGCCTCTTTTAAGGAAATAGGGCTGACACACTTTGGCTGGCCTCAGTTTTTGAGGCAATGCTAGTTGTTAACAGCATTATCTTTTAATCTGAGGAAAATGTTTATTTAAAAAACCTGTCTTCCAAAATACAACAAAAAACAAGGTCTGGGTAGTGGCGAATCCTTCCAGGCACTCCACGCCTCCCTGTGGGCTGTAACCATGGACCTGAGTAGAGTCCCATAAAAATACTTCTCCAAATGCATTTGTAATAGGGACACACCACATAGTTTGTTATTCATTAAAGCAGTTTATTGGCTTAATGTACATCACTGAATTTTAAATGCTAAAAATTTATAAAAGAATACCGAACCAAAACATCAAAGAAAATAGAGGCTCAGCAGCATGATTTCAATATATTTTCCTGGAAAAAGTTTTTTTTTTTTTTTTTAAAGTATATGACTTTTTATCTAAGAACAAAAGCTTCCTAAATTCAATGTTTAGACTTGATTTTTTTAAAAAACTAAGCCCAGAAAACTGGGGCTCATAAAATAAAGGCACAATGTGGGCAGCAAAAGAAAAAAGGAGAAAAAATGGGAGAAAAATTGGTTTTAATCTCACGTGTAACATAGGTTGGCTGGTTTTGTTTTTGTTTTAGACAATTTAAGGCAGAATTATCTCTGCAACACTGCAGATAAATCCTAGTGTTTTAGCTATAAGTTTCAAGAGTTCAGATATACAGATAAACCAATTTAAAAAAAACCTTTTCTCATTCTGAGGCTTTTGATGCATTATATAAATCTTTAAAATTCCTATCACCCACATTTTAAGACATACATCTATACTTTAATAAGGCACTCTTAAGATATAAAACAGTTTTAAAAACAATGACATTCTACACTAGGGCTAACCCATTCCTCTGCCATAGGGATGGAGTGAATTGTCTCTTTGAATCAAGTCAATCTCTGTGCACCAACACAAACAGGCAGGTGTCTCAACCCATTCCAAATTTATCTAAGTAGCTAAATTTTATCAATGGGACTCTCCCATCCACTAGTCGGGGAGTTACACAAACAGAACTGCCCAAGTTTGATGATGAAATTTAAAAACAGTATCTCCTTTTTTCTAGAAATACTTCCTTTGAACATACAACCATCACTTCCATTAGCTCCTGTCCATAAAGAAAAACACAATGGAAGATAACAAATGATTCCCCATATCCTTCAATCTTCCTGATGGGACAGAAATATAAAGGAACTTTACTTTTAAATGACAACCTAATAACTGTTAATAACATGACATTTTAGTTGTGCATCCTGTATGTATGTCATTGGTGCTAATGGCTTCCACTTCTAAATGACAAAAATTTGAATCCTACCATCCCTATTGGTAATTAAAACAAACACCAAAGCTTACAATAAAGTAATGCAACCTCTAAGACTGTAGCAACAGAGAAATTTTAGTGGAGTTTCTACTCTTTCCTAAGTAATGGAAGAAAATGAAGAATCCAGAAAGGTCAGACTAAGCCTGAAACACAATTTCACTATGAAAAAAGGGTAACAAAATGTCCCATCAGAGCGAGAGGAGTTAAAAATGTGGCATCGGGAGTGTATCAGACTGAGGCGCTGTTGTGGGCTAGGTCTTTGCTTCCAATGAGTCAAGAAGGACCTAGAAAGGAGCTATGAGGTGCTTCTTTCCTTTATCTTTCTGGGCTGGCAGCAAATGATCAATTACTTCCCGTAGAACTTTTTGTTGAGAAGGAAGATCAGGAGGTTGACATTTACTTTAGCTCTATCAAATAATTTCATGACTGCAACTCCTTCATATTGTAGCTGCAGCAGGTCCTATTAACAAAACAAAACATTTTGACAGTTAATCAAGTCTGTGGAACAAGGAAAAAGGACACAAGGTAGGGAGGGCTCCAGATGGACTGAGGCCTGCCTTGTGTGCCAGATGTGAACTGGGGTGAAAGAAAAGTTCCTAGCTAGGAAACTACCCACTGCACAACCAGCCTGAGAGCTGGAGCAATAGGGCGCACTGGCCAAGGGGCTCTTCTGGTTGATTTGGAGTTAGGAAGTCATGTTGTTCATATCAAAATTCATCATACATGGAAAGAAAAAGAAACATGTTCAGTTGCCACACACACCTATGCTTTTTATTTCACAAGTCACAATGACATTTTCGCATTTCATCCATGTTATGGGTCACTAGTTTTAATAAATCTGGAAAAGGTGAAGATTAAACCTACGATAAAATATACTAAGCATGGGAAATGAGACAAGGCTGGTAATGTCACCTCAATACTATCTGCTAGATTCTTAATTTCTTTTTTTTTTTTTGAGATGGAGTCTCGCTCTGTAGCCCGGGCTGGAGTGCAGTGGCCGGATCTCAGCTCACTGCAAGCTCCGCCTCCCAGGTTTACGCCATTCTCTGGCCTCAGCCTCCCGAGTAGCTGGGACTACAGGTGCCCACCACCACGCCTGGCTAGTTTTTTTTTTTGTAGTTTTTAGTAGAGACGGGGTTTCACCGTGTTAGCCAGGATGGTCTCGATCTCCTGACCTCGTGATCCGCCCGTCTCGGCCTCCCAAAGTGCTGAGATTACAGGCTTGAGCCACCGCGCCCGGCCCTAGATTCTTAATTTCTATTCCACATAAGAACACTCACTTTTTTTTTTTTTTTTTTTGAGACGGAGTCTCGCTCTGCCACCCAGGCTGGAGTGCAGTGGGGCAATCTCAGCTCACTGCAAGCTCTGCCTCCTGGGTCCATGCCATTCTCCCGCCTCAGCCTCCCGAGCGGCTGGGATTACAGGCGCCCACCACACGCCCGGCTAATTTTTTGTATTTTTAGTAGAGACGGGGTTTCACCGTGTTAACCAGGATGGTCTCGATCTCCTGACCTCATTATCAGCCCACCTCGGCCTCCCAAAGTGCTGGGATTACAGGCGTGAGCCACCGCACCCGGTAACATGAGAAAACTTTTTATCCTGAAGGTAAGGAGAAAAGAGAGAACTTGATGTTTTATTAGGTGTCTGCCATGTGCTTGGTATTGTGTAAGCACATTATACAGCATCTTTTAAAAGTCTTCACAAAAATTTTTATGAGGTGCGATCATCCTAACTTTAAAGATGAGCTATCGAGGCTCAGAGATGTTAAATGACTTGCACCACAGGACAGAGATGGACGTGGTAAATCCAGATCTGACCGCAATGCTCTTGCTTTTCCTGTTACTTTCGCCATTGTCCTGAACAAGTTTAAGAAATCTGAGCATTCTCACTTCTAAACTTTAGAAAAATGGTGATGAGAAAGCAAGGGTCAAAAGGCTTGAAAGGACCCCACAAGGCCGGGTGCGGTGGCTCACGCCTGTAATCCCAGCACTTTGGGAGGCTGAGGCAGGTGGATCATGAAGTGGGGAGTTAGAGACCAGCCTGGCCAACATGGTGAAACCCTGTTTCGACTAAAAATACAAAAATTAGCTGGGCATCCGGCGTGGTGGCGCACGCCTGTATTCCCAGCTATTCAGTAGGCTGAGGCAGGAGAGTCACTTGAACCCGGGAGGTGGAGGTTGCAGTGAGCTGAGATTGTGCCATTGCACTCCAGCTTGGGCAATAAGAGCGAAACTCTGTCTCAAAAAAAAAAAAAAAAAAAAATTAGCCGGGCGTGATGGTGCGTACCTGTAATCCCAGCCACTCAGGAGGTTGAGGCAGGACAATCAGTTGAACCCAGGAGGTGGAGGTTGTAGTGAGTGGAGATCACACCACTACACTCCAGTCTGGGCGACAGGGTGAGACTCCGCCGCTCCCCCACCCAACCGCAAAAAAAAAAAAAAAAAAAAAAAAAAAAAAAGAAAGGACCCCACAAGTTCAATCATCTGCTGGAAAAATCCTAGCAGCTCCATGAAGGCTGCTGGCACCTGTGCCTAACATAATACCCCACACCTGGCAGTCACCCCACATTTAATGAATTTGTACATAAATTAATAAATTACCATAGGCAGACTGGTTGGCCTAACACAATTTGGTTAAGAAATTTAAAAATAAAAATATGTTCTGATAACTCCACGTAAATAAAATAAAAAAATTTTAAAATTAAAACAATAACTATTTGGTGAACTGAGGGAATGAGGTTCCTTTTTTTTTTTGGTGGAAGTATTTCAGTTAGCTGTGTGCATCACAAAATCATTTCACATTTGTTTAGCTAACATGTTTTAATGGTCTACTGGTCACTGACAAGGAAACGAAGATGACTAAGAAATGCTACCTGTCCTTAAGGAGTTTATGGCTTTAGCGGGGAGAGGGGAAGTAAGTCAACACCTACTGTAAACAGAGGATGTCTGCAAAGGCTACAGAAGCGAAGGGGAAACCACCGATTATGGCTTGGCTGGGGGAGGTACACACATGGAAGTACTTGACAAATGATGGAGGAACAAAAGGGGTGGGGTTGGAAGGCAGGGGAGGGGAGGGAGGGCAGCATGAGCAGAAGTCCAAATGCACATTCACAGGAAGGCACCTGCCCAGGCTGGCAGGGCGTGGCTGTGTGAAGCAGTGCAAGAAAGGAGACAGGAGCAGACTAACCGGTGCCACACACACAAAGCTAAAGGAGTCTGGACGTCACCTAGGAATCCTCTCAATGCCCCTGCTATTTTTTAACGTGTAAAAATCAGATATTTCAAAATAAAACTTAGGGATCTTTATGCTGTAAAAATGAATTACTCCCGAGTTCTTTTTGGATTTAAGATAGGATGTGGTTTACAAACATAAACTTTACACACACCTTGTCAGAAGTGCATCTAACCTTTAAGTACCTACATCAAATCAAAATGAGAAAAAAATTTCAAGCTACTGAGTGGACTTACAATTTTGCAATGTCAGCATGTGTACTTATGCATTTTGTTCAAGTCCAAGGTATCAGCTCAATTTAGTGGCAGCACTAAGTGGAAGCTTCAGATAAATGTTTTCTGAAGATTTACATCTGCAAAAGCTCTCCAGAGTGTACACACCAAACCAGACGTGCTGCAACACTCAGCTTCTTTCCCCACAGTGTGGAGCCCAGCTCACTGCTGAATGTAGACAGCTTTCCTCAGATGAGTCTCCTCTTTATCTAGTTCTCCTACTTGGACAAGAATCTCATCCAGAAAGCTTTTGGTTCCTGCTGGTGCATACCCACCTGATAATGTAACATAAAAGTCTCCATTTGAACTCCCATGAATTTGGCTTTCACTTCAAAGTCTCCAACTTCTTCTGTTGGACTGATTTCAAAGATAACATTTTTAAACCTGTTGAAAGATAACATCGTAAGGGTATGGTTTTTATGTTCTTATATAAAAATATTCTGTGAAATGGGGAAAGGAGATGAACCAAGTCTTCAAGGGTGAAAAGGGGTAGAAAATACAGGTCAAAAGTACTTCTGCACCTGAAGCAGCACGGATTGCCATGCCTAAGTACCATCTGCTCTGGGACTTGGAGAGAGGAATGGCAACCTCTCTCTGCCTGCAGCACTTGCATTCTATAAAAGAAGAACCACTGAGGAGTGCCACAAGTGGCCTGTGAAGGGATGACATCATAGTAATTCTCTTCACTTCCACATGGCCAAAAATGAAACCTAATGATAAAAGGAGAAAACAGGAAACTGGGGTGGAAGGAGATGGTATGTGTGTTTGAATACATGCATGTTTGAGGACTGGGAGAAGTAAATAAACAAAAGGGGGTCAGTAAAAAAAGCTCCAAGGGAGGAGGTTTTTCTAGAAAGAGTAGGTGCTGTGTACATAAGCACACTCAGTATTACCAAAGATAAATTGTTATTATTAAAAATATTTAAGTTATCACTCATTCACAACATGTTACCTGCCAGGAAATTTTAGGAAGCCAAAAGGAAAAGGGGTTATGCAGCCGGGCACGATGCCTCACATCTGTAATCCCAGCACTTTGGGAGACCGAGGCGGGTGGATCACAAGGTCAAGAGATCGAGACCATCCTGGCCAACATGGTAAAATCCCGTCTCTACTAAAAATACAAAAATTAGCTGGGTGTGGTGGCATGCATCTGTAGTCCCAGCTACTCAGGAGGATGAGACAGGAGAATTGATTGAACCCGGGAGCCAGAGGTTGCAGTAAGCTGAGATAGTGCCACTGCAGTCCAGCCTGGTGACAGAGCAAGACTCCGTCTCCAAAAAAAAAAAAAAAAAAAAAAAAAAAAAAAAAAAAGGGGATTAAGGCATCCTCTGGGTGATCAAAGTATAGCACCCCAGATTTCCAGAACTCAACTATGGAGCTACCTTACCTATTACAAACAGGGCTGAGAACCATGAAAGATGCAAAAAGGTCACTGAGAGTTAAAGGAGAAGTCACAAAAACCCATGCACTGAAACATACATGCATTTTATTCAACTGGAATGCCTCACGGGTTATTCCTTAAAGATATTTATCTTAAGTGATAAATAATTTTATCAGATTTAGTTGGCTATTTAGTTTCTAAACCCATAGAAGCAAATTAAAAAGAAGAAAGAAAGGCAAATAGAGGTAGGCACTTGAACAGTAGTGGAAAATAATGACAAAAAGAAGGGCAATATTGACTCATGCCTGTAATCTCAGCACTTTGGGAGGCCAAGGCAGGAGGACTGCTTGAGCCCAGGAGTTCAAGACCAGCCTGGGCAACAAAGTGAAACCCTGTCTCTACAAAATATAATTAGTTGGATATGGTGGCACATGCCTATGGTCCCCGCTACATGGGAGGCTAAGGTGGGAAGATCTCTTAAGCCCAGGAGGTTAGGGCTGCAGTGAGCTGTGATCATGCCAGTGCACTCCTGCCTAGGTGACATAGCAAGACTCTTTCTCTAGAAAAAAATTTAAAAATTATGTACCCATTAAAAAGGATGCTTTCAATGAATATAAAAAATGCTCACAGCATAATGTTATAAGAAAAAAGTTGGATACATGACCATAAACAGTATTGTCCCAGTTTGTGTTAAAAAATATTAAGTAGTTATTTTAGGCTGGGTGCAATGGCTCATCCCTATAATCCTCCCAGCATTTTGGGAAGCTGAGGAGGGCAGATCAGCTTAAGATCAGGAGTTTGAGACCAGCCTGGCCAACATGGTAAAACCCTGTCTCTACTAAAAATACAAAAATTATTTGGATGTGGTGGCAGGCACCTGTAATCCAAGCTACTTGGGAGACTGAGGCAGGAGAATCACTTGAACCTGGGAGGCGGAGGTTACAGTGAGCTGGAGGTTGCAGTGAGCCGAGATTATGCCACTGCACTCCAGCCTAGGCTACACAGAGAGACTGTTCCCCCTCCAAAAAAAAGGCCTGTAATTCCAGCACTTTGGGAGGCCGAAATGGGAGGATCACGAGGTTAGGAGATCAAGACCATCCTGGCTAACATGGTGAAACCCCATCTCTACTGAAAATACAAAAACTTAGCTGGGTGTGGTGATGCATGCCTGTAGTCCCACCTAACTGGGAGGCTGAGGTGGGAGAATTGCTTGAACCCTGGAGGCCAAGGTTGCAGTGAGCTGAGATCGCGCCACCATACTCCAGCTTGGGTGACAGAGAGACTCCGTCAAAAAAAGAAAAAAAGGGGGGGGGAGAAGAAGAAGAACAAAAAAATATATATATAAAGTAGTTAGATAAATAAGTGGGTGAGTTGTGGATAATCTTTATGTGAATAGAAAAAAAATACATTAAAATGATTTCCCTGGTTATCTCTGGCTTGTGAAATTACAGGTGTTTTCTTTTTTATGCTTTACTGTATCTTCAAAGTTTAATAATGAATACATATTATTTTAGAATCAGAAAACTGTAAAAGTTCTTTTTTTAAAAGTTTTTTTTTTTCCCCAGACACAAGAAGGGAAAGATCAGTAGCCTGACGTCACAGGGCTGACTGAGCAGACGCTTAATAAATGCTTGCTAATGAGGCTGGGCCCAGGATCTATGGGAGGATGACATGTCAGGTCCATGAACCACCTGCAAAGCAAGCTGATACTTCCCAGAAAAGAAAATGAAGGTTAAGTGCCTGGTTCCTAGCTGTAAGTGGAATAAAGCAAACTCCTCTTATTGTTACTCTTAATTTATTCTTGGTTCAGAAACAGAAGAAATCCAAGGAGTGGCTTCCTGCTTTAATGATGAAAAATTAAGATCAGACCCAAAGAAGTGAACATGACCTGAGACAAAGGTTCTACAAACAAGGAAAAGAAAAACTCTTTTATGACAAATTAACTCTGAGTATGAGGCCTAATTCTACACATAAAAATATATAAATACGTAAAAAATATTAAAAGTAACCATCCAGAAAAGAGAAATAAAGACAAAAAGGCAAAGATGTGATAAATGTAGAAATAAAAATCAACTTATAAAACAAAAAGCAAAGACTCACTGATTCACTTGCAGGTCCTCAATTTCCAGAAGAACTCCTTTTTCATGTAGTCTTGCTGCTGTATATTTCAGAGAAATCTTTTTGCTTTTCTTTCCTTTCATTTCCCTAGGCTTTTTGGAGACTCTGTAAAAATCACATCATGTCACTTTCTACAAGTAACCATCTATTCTGAATCTTCATCATTGGTAACTGAAGGAAACAAGGTCAGACACCAAACTTCCAGACATAAGCATAAGTAACATACCAACTCTAAAATGGGAAACAAATGTTAGAATTAGCCTAAGCAATATCTCTGCAAAACAGGGGAAAGATTACTAAATTGCTTCTATTTTTAGTCTAAATTATATTTGAGAACACTCCCATGAATTTAACAGTGTCTTAATCCTCCCATGTCCTTCTGGGAACTTCAGTTCCTAACAAGTAACTACGAGAGCTTCATATGCCAGCCTGAGGGAATGGTACTGAATCCCTGCAGCGAAGGAGTTACTCTAAGCCCCTCAGCTGTGTAGGGAAAAAATAAAAATAATATCAAATAAATACTTTTTAAAAGCATTTAAGCCAGCACAGCAATTACAGATGAACGAGAATAAGGAAAAAGAAACAGGTTAGGAGGCTATTAGGATAATCAAGGCAAAAAGTGGTAACTTCAGAAACATGCCCACATCTGCAAAAGACATATGTACAAGAGATTATTTGCTGCAGAATTTAAAAAATAATAACAAACAACTGGAAACAAATGTTCATCAATGGAGAACTGCTTAAGTAAATTGTTATATCTATCTGTATAATGGAATAATACGCAGCATTAAAAAAATGAGAATCCAGGTCTGCCTGCTTAGAAGGCCTGGAGGCCATGACAAATCTGGCAGTGAACACACTCAGTTCTAGATCTTGGTTTCTAAATACCATTCTTCATTCAAAGAAACCAGGGATTCTTGGAAAAACAGTTCATTCTGGGCCTGGGGAGGGGAAACTACAGGTTGAACATGAAACATCTTGTGTCAGGAAGTACACAAAGAACAATGGAAACACGTCAAAAGCTCACAGGAGTCAGCTCTGCAAGCCGGGTTAGGTGGGCCTATTTTTCATCCCTTCCCATCAGCCCTGCCTGATCCCAGGGAGTCTTCCAGGGAGAAAGAGAAAAACAGAGTAAGTGCACAAGCCAGAGAAACGGGAAGCAGATATGGCAAAATGTTAGAAATGGGTGAATCTAGGTGAAGGGCATATGGGTGCTTACTGTTCTATTCATTCCATCTTTCTGAGATTTGAAAACTCTTAAAATAAAAAGTTAGGAATAAATAATAAACTACCCTACAAGTAAAACCTGCTCTTATCACCCACGTCTCTGGGTTTTCAGTTCCCTCCCTGTAAAATGGGCATGCTGATAGCTGGCGGCCAGTGCCAAGAAAGCTGGATCAGACTTTCCTCAGTACCCAGGAAGAAAATCAGAGCCTGTGATCTTGTCCTCAGGAAGAATACAGAGAAGCAAGGGGATCCAAATTTGCATAATATTCCTTAAGTGATTTTGGGACCACTAGATGATCTCCTTTCATGATTTTAATTTCTAGCACCAAGAAGATTTTTTTTTTTTTTTGAGACAGAGTCTGGCTCTGTCGCCCAGGCTGGAGTGTAGTGGTGCAATCTTGGCTCACTGCAACCTCTGTCTCCCAGGTTCAGGTAATTCTCCTGCCTCAGCTTCCCAAGTAGCTGGGACTACAGGCGTATGCCACCATGCCCACCTAATTTGTGTATTTTTAGTAGAGATGGGGTTTCACCATGTTGACCAGGCTGGTCTTGAACTCCTGACCTCAAGTGACACATCCACCTCAGCCTCCCAAAGTGCTGGGATTATAGGTGTGAGCCACCTTGACGGGCCCCAAGAAGGTATTTTGCAAAAGCATTACTTAGCGATAAGCATCCATGAAATCCCCCACCCACTATTTATATCATACACTAACAAATGGAACAGGCAATTATACAAATGATTAGAGGTAAAATAAAAGACTAATGCGATAAATAGATCCAGTGTATTTTAAGCAAAAATTTCCAGCGTCATTTCAGTTGCCTCTGCTTTTTCCTCACTCTAATTCTTTTCCCTGACATCAATTTTTAAAACAGAAAAAATACTCACTTGCCCTTGCTGGCTAAGTTATCCAGGCAGGTTTTGATATAGCTTTTATAGTAATCCACCTGCTCCCCATAAAAGGTGGCCTTAGAATTCAGAGCAGCGTATGTCTGTTGCAGTTTCACTAGTTCAGCCTTTCTCCTCTGTCGGTACCTCCGCTGATTCCGAATATCCTGAGACATAATTATTAGAGTTAGAAAAATAATGACAGGTATCAGGCACTTCTTGAGTGATTATCATTTCACACTAGAACCCAGCAATGCTTAACTCTGCCTTAAATATGACTCCATACTTTTTTATTTTTTTGAGACAGAATCTTGCTCTGTTGCCCAGGCTGGAGTGTGCAGTGGTTGAGATCATGGCTCATGGTAGCCTCAGCTTCCCAGGCTCAAGTGATCCTCCCACTTCAGCCTCCAGAGTAGCCGGGACTTACAGGCACATGCCATCATATCTGGCTAATTAAAAAACTTTCTTTTGTAGAAATGGGGTCTCAAGTGATCCTCCTGCCTTGGTCTCCGAAAGTGCTGAGATTTGTTTTCACAAATTAATAGAGAAATTCAGATCTCAAATTTTCTTCCCCCATTTGTATCTTCTAGCAGGGAAATGCGTTACATTTAGACTTACACATTTTTAGAATTTACTTGCAAAGCTGGTTTGGACCTCTTAAATTTATTTTGTTGGGAAAGGGAGAAAAAGAGAATTATAATACATCAACCACCAGTTCCCAGGTGTGCATAATATTACCTTAGTGCAACAGCAGAGAACACCTAAGCTCTTAGTCCTCACCAAAGCCCCTCGCTTGAGATGATTCATACAAATCAAGGATTTCATCAGCTTGATGTGAATTTATATTTCACAGTAATCATGAAAAAGATCTGGAAGAATTCTTTAAGGCTGAAGACAAATTCTTTAAGGTCATAGGAGGCTCTAGTTAAGGTCCTCTCCCTAGTAATTTAGGCCATGGAATAAGCCACCTCAGGTCGGGCAAGGCCCTCATGCTGGAGAGTCAGATATGGTTTCTCAGAGAGGAGGGCACTAATTTGCCCATGAACTGAAGCTATGCTGTTATCTGGACAGTTACTGTCTCTCGAGCCTCTCAGCTTTGAACAAGGCCAGTTCCCCTCTGTCCCCCAAATGCAGTACCCTGGCAATGTCGTTGATCAGTTCCTGGTATTTGTTCTTTGGGTCAACGGTTCCAAGCTCTGTTAGCTTCTTTAAACCTGTCTGGATTTTCTCTTTCTTCTCTTGAAGAGTGAGGTTGCTGTCTTCCTTTACAGATTTTGACTTTTTCATCTTGTCAGGGGTTTTGGCATCACGGATAGCACGTCTCTGCATGGCTCTCTGATGCTCTGCTTCCTACAGATGGGAAAAAGAAGTTCTTAGCAAGTTCACCACACTAATCCTAAACTTGAATTTATATAGCACATCCACACCTGAACTTATATAGATCTTAAACTCCAACCTCGAAACAGAAGGAAACAAACTCTGACTCCTGCCAAGTAACAGATGAGAAACTGCATGAAGCAGAGGCACTTCTTTCCACCTAGAAGAGATGATATCTACAAAATCACACAACTGGGCCAGGCGCGGTGGCTCAAGCCTGTAATCCCAGCACTTTGGGAGGCCGAAGTGGGCGGATCACGAGGTCAGGAGTTCAAGACCATCCTGACTAACATGGTGAAACCCCATCTCTACTAAAAATACAAAACCAAAATTAGCCAGGCGTCACAGCGGGCGCCTGCAGTCCCAGCTACTGGGGGAGGCTGAGGCGGAAGAATGGCGTGAACCCAGGAGGCGGAGCTTGCAGTGAGCTGAGATCGTGCCACTGCACTCCAGTCTGGGTGACAGAGCGAGACTCTGTCTCAAAAAAAAAAAAAAAAAAAAAAGGCACACAACTGCTTAGGGCTTCTTTGGTGGACTCCAGATACAATCACCGAGACGGGACTGTACCGGCTACAAAGTCATTTTTCTCTATCACATTTTGAGACATGGAAGCCATTTAATTTTATTAAAAACATAGCTGTATAAATGTTATAACTATACTAACACAACAAGAGCAACGCTTAGTAAATCTTTGCTAATTCTTTTTGTCACTTTGTCACTTTCCATTTGGCGGAATCATGCTCGAGCACTGCCTCTGCTTTCAAACATGCTGCAGACACCCCAATAGTAACAGGGAAACACCTTCCCTTGATACTGCCATCCTTCAGTCACCATCCATTGTCTGTCCCTGTCTAACATATGATCTATACTTGCTGTTTCATTCTTCCTGCACTTTCTTCTTTACTGCTCTCATCACCAATTACCATACCCTGTCCAAAATCCAATCCTTTTCTGTCACCTTGCTCATCTTCTCTGCACTGTGTTCTTGCTCGATGCATTGTTTTGTACTTCCATTTCTCTCTGTTTCCTCTCAGTACTTCAACGACTGCCTCTGTGTTGACAGAACCCAAATCTTTGTGACCATGGCTCTGGTGCCATATTCTCAACTGTCTGCACTGGGATGTTTACATTCGGGATGGCTTATACTTCAAGCTTGTAATTCCCCCTAACTGGAGCAATTCCCTTTCCCAATAGTCCCCTATCTTCTAAAGTCAAGACTACTCTGCATCACATAATGTTAAGAGCATAAGCTCTGGAAGCAGACAGAACTGGATCTGCGTCTGGTTCTGTCACTACAAGCTGATGATCTTGGCCAGTTAACCTGTAAGGGTTTTAGTTTCCTCATCTGTAAAATAAGGATGAAAAGACTCGACTCATGGGAATGTTGCAAGGATTAAATGAAAGAACAGAGGTGAGAGCACCAAACACATACTAGGTTCTCAATAAAGACGGGCTCCTCCTTCCTTATTTCAAATTTCCTTCTAGGTTCAACATGTTTCAAGTATTGGTTTATACATCCTTACTTGCCTTTCACACATATCTAATCGGTAATCAGTCATAGCAACTGAGAGCTGAGACTTCATTTAAAACAATGGTTTCCAAATAGTTCTCTCTGCAGCCTTAAGAGTTTGCCAGAGGCACCACAGAGTCCTATAGGGCTGGATTTCAGATGCCCTATTCCTGGCTAGCAGAGTAGCAGAGTACCTGCTTTATATACTGGGCTTCTAGGTAAGTTGTCACTTAATGAAACAGATTACCATGCTTAAAATTTGGAAATGAATGGCCTGACCTACTTTCCTTATTTGACAAATGAGAAACAGAGGTTTCTGGCCAGGCACAGTGGTTCATACCTGTAATCCCAGCACTTTGAGAGGCCAAGGGGGGTGGGTCACCTGAGGTCAAGAGTTTTTGAGATCAGCCTGGCCAACATGGTGAAACCTTGTCTCTACCAAAAATAAAAATCAGCCAGGCGTGGTGGTGCACACCTGTAGTCCGGCTACGCGGGAGGCTGAGGCAGGAGAATCACTTGAACCCAGGAGGTGGAGGTTGCAGTGAGCCAAGATCATGCCACTGCAGGCCAGCCTGGGTGAGAGTGAGACTCTGTCTCAAATTTAAAAAAAGAAAAAAAAAAAAAAGAAAAAAAAAAAGAAACAAAGGTCTTAGATATGACATGACTCATCCAACCCTACATAATGCCAGGTCCCAACCCCCATCTGCCCACCCCACTGGACCTTATCACACACCTAGATGACTTAACCACCATCTGCTCTCATAGCATTGCTGAATTAATTAACATTAAATGGTCTTGAACCTTATAGAGGCTCTTTATTTCTTATCTCTGCAGTGCCAAATTCCCATCTAGTTTGTGAGTTCTAAATAATTTGGTCTCATGTTTTATTTCTCACTACTCACCTCCACCCACAGCTCCATTCTAGACATGAAGTCTGGTCGCATCATGCTCTTCCCTCCTTTGTACTTTTGTTCACATCACTCTCCTGCATCGAATGCCCTCTCTTGTCTTACATGCACACCCAAATCCTATCCACCTTTATACGGCTGGCTCCAGTTCCACTTGTTTTAGGAAGCCTTCCTAATGCATTGCTTCACTGGCCTCTTTCCTGAAACTTCTATTATTTTTTAGTCAGTATCATAGTTAATTTTGAATGGTTTCATCACTGTTTCAGGAATACATGTCACAATTCCCCAACAAGATCACGAGTTCACTGAGTTTAGGAGCCACATTCTGTACTTTTCTTCTATCTACCATGGCACATAACAGAATTCCAAATATGTAATATTCAATACCCTACACATTAATGGTTTCAACCAACCCTGAAACTATTTGAAAAAAAAATACAACAATAAAAAAAGTACAAATTTTAAAAATACAGTAACAACTATTTACATAGCATTTATACTGTAGTAGGTATAAGTAGTCTAGAGAGGATTTAAAGTATATGGGAGAATGTGTGTAAGTATATGCAAATACTATACCATTTTATTTATTTATTTATTATTATTAGTATTTTTGAGACGGAGTCTCACTCTGTCGCCTAGGCTGCAGTGCAGTGGCATGATCTCGGCTCACTGCAAGCCCCGCCTCCCGGGTTCATGCCATTCTGCCTCAGCCTCCTGAGTAGGGGGGACTACAGGCATCTGCCACCACGCCCGGCTAATTTTTTGTATTTTTAGATGGGGTTTCACGTGTTAGCCAGGATGGTCTCGATCTCCTGACCTTGTGATCCGCCCGCCGTGGCCTCCCAAAGTGCTGGGATTACAGGCGTGAGCCACCGCGCCCAGACAAATACTGCACCAATTTATATAAGGGACTTGAACATCTATGGATTTTGGTATTGGCTGGGGGTGGGGGGAATGGGTGCTGGAAAGTAACCCCTGTGGATACCAAGGGACGGATATACTGGATGGACACAATGGAACCAAAAACTTTCTCAGATGAGCTGTAACTACCACTGCCCCCCAGTTACATTCACGCTCACCCCTAGGTTACCAACTCTTATTTGTGTCTCTCCTCCTTTTTCTGACATGCGCCTATCGGGAGAGCTTATCTACCAAACAAAGGAGTATGTTAGACCCTAAATTTTACCTGTTCACTGGTGGCTGGTGTTTCTAGGATTTCAGTCAAGGTCTCTCCTGGCTGGAACCGTATGACATCCACAATTAAACGTTTTGTACTGAAAAAAGATGGGGGAAGCATTTAAATATTACCAGTGTTCTAGTTCCTCTCAAGTGGACCGAAGCAGCAGCAGCAGCACAAACAGTACCTCACAGAAGTCCCAAGCAGCAGCTGCCAGCACACAGTACTCAAGGCACTAGGCTTATTTACCCAACGATACCATAAGTAGGTACAAGGGTTAGGATTTCCAAGATTTACATTTCATTGTAGCATATTAGCAAAATAAGGCAGAAAAATCCTGTGCCAAGTACAGTATGCGAGGTGATTGATTATGAAAAGTATGAGAGGTCAGGATGGTCATTTCAGGTATGACCCAGCAGGTTCCTCTCCAAAGGTCAAGAAACCTTTGGATTACATTCATTTCATCCTACTTTTGATACTCACTTCAGTAAGATGGTTCGAGCATCCATTTCTGCATTCTCATCTCCAGGCACATCGAACTTGTTGGTCAGGGTGAGAGACACTTCTGTCTTAGCCAGTGCCTCCTTATTTGGGTCATTTAAATTGCCAGAGCTTTCCCCTGAAGTTTTGGGAGGGTGGAAAGAGTCAGCGTAATAAAGGGGAGATATTGGGGGGAAATAATACAAATTAAAAAGATGATGCAAGTCTAAGATAATACTTGAATCACCTAACATGTACAGTGTGACGAGAACAACTTTTACTGAGAAATAAGATATTATGCCAAATGATAAAGGCAAAGGATCCATAATAACTTCATAAATGTTTAAGAAATTATTTCAACATTACAATTTCACAATTCTCTCTCAAAGCATTCTTTCTGGCTGGGTGCAGTGGCTCAGGCCTGCAATCCCAGCACTTTGAAAGGCTAAAGGAGGAGGATGGCTTGAGGCCAGGAGTTCGAGACCAGCCTGGGCAACATAGTGAGACCCCATCTCTATTAAAACAAAAAACAGGGGCCAGGTGCGGTGGCTCAAGCCTGTAATCCCAGCACTTTGGGAGGCTGAGATGGGTGGATCACGAGGTCAGGAGATCGAGACCATCCTGGCTAACATGGTGAAACCCCATCTCTACTAAAAAATAAAAAAAAAACTAGCCAGGCGAGGTGGCGGGCGCCTGTAGTCCCAGCCACTCGGGAGGCTGAGGCAGGAGAATGGCGTGGACCCAGGAGGCAGAGCTTGCAGTGAGCTGAGATCCGGCCACTGCACTCCAGCCTGGGCTACAGAGCGAGACTCCGTCTCAAAAAAACAAAAACAAAAACAAAAACAAAAACTCAGGAGGATCATTTGAGCCTAGGAATTTGAGGCTGCAGTGAGCTATGACTGCACCACTGTACTGCAGCCTGGGCAACAGAGGGAGACCCTGTCTCATAACAAACAAACAAAAAAAATTATTTCCTTTAGAGGACTTTTAATTTATAGTTATGTAATTATTTGTGTATCTGCAATTTTTTTTTTTTTTTTAAACACACGCTGGCAGTATGTATCTGCATTTAAAATGATCTCTTCCTCTGTCTCCAGTTCCTTATAGATAGTGATCACATCTGGGCTTTTTTGTTATTGTTGTTTTTGTTTTGTCTCTTACGAAACTATCAGGATCACATCTATTTTATTTCTCAATGTATATCCAGAGTTTGGTATAGTGCAAAAAACAGAGGAGGTGACAATTACACTTTTCTGTCATGTTCCCCTTTGACCTTCCAGGCAAAAGTCAGAACTTTAAGGCCGGGCACGGTGGCTCAAGCCTGTAATTCCAGCACTTTGGGAGGCCGAGACGGGCGGATCATGAGGTCAGGAGATCGAGACCATCCTGCCTAACACGGTGAAACCCCGTCTCTACTAAAAAAAATAACAAAAAAACTAGCCGGGCGTGGTGGCGGGCGCCTGTAGTCCCAGCTACTCGGGAGGCTGAGGCAGGAGAATGGCGTAAACCCGGGAGACGGAACTTGCAGTGAGCTGAGATCTGGCCACTGCACTCCAGCCTGGGTGACAGAGTGAGACTCCATCTCAAAAAAAAAAAAAAAAAAAAGTTAGAACTTTACCTATCAGGGACTCGATGGTGGGCACCTCGCCGAGGTCGTCCAGCAGCTCGTGGATTGGATCATTGTGCTCCGGAGCAATGGCATCCTGGTGATCCAACAGGAGCTGCAAACACCAATGATCAACTCCATTTATACATTCAACTCTCCAGCCCATCCCTCCCTAGAACGCCTAACAATAATCTGCACAAAGAGATTCCAACAAAGTTCCTATATTCAAAGAAACAACAAGCAAATCAACCCAAATAAACAATATGATATATAAAGCACCACACTGGGCTCTGTTGAATGACTTGTTATGATGTAAGAAGAGGAAATACTGGTACTCTCTTAATCTCATGGCCATAAAGGACTCAAATGTTCCCTGTGTAAGAAAGAACACTGTGGCTGGGCGTGGTGGCTCATGTCTGTAAATTCAGCATTTTGAGAAGCCAAGGTGGGTGGATCACCTGAGGTCAGGAGTTCAAGACCAGCCTGGACAACATGATGACACCCTGTCTCTACTAAAAATACAAAAATTAGCTGGGCATGGTGGTGCACACCTGTAATCCCAGCTACTAGGGAGGCTGAGGCAGGCGAATTGCTTGAACTTGGTAGGCGGAGGTTGCAGTGAGCCGAGATTGCGCCACTGCACTCCAGCCTGAATGACAGAGCAAGATTCCATCTCAAAAAAAAAAAAAAAAAAAAAAACACAAAACAAAAAACACAAAACATTGAAACTCAAAGTTCAATACCCAAAGTCATCAATGTACCCTACTACCAGTTCAAATAAGTCACATGCAGACTTTTACTTAATGTTTCCAGTGCATGACATGATGTAATTCAGAGAAAAGTATACCAAATCAATGTTATAATTATTGTAGGAGCACTCAACAAAGCCTTCAAGGTGCCATTATCCCCAGTGATGCCCTCAGAAATGACAGTAACCTGAACTTTCATTTACATTTTCACACATGTCCTTGTTCCTGTTTTACATGTCCATGTCCCCAGAGGGGAAAAAATGATTTGAAAAATCTGAAGAAACATGGAACTCCAGCTTCCAAGGGAAAAATCCACTCCAAGGCTACACAGAGAAAGAAGCTAGTATTCTAGATCATGTTAGAAAAATAACACAGAGGGCTGGGGTAAAAAGAAAGAAGAGTAAAAGCACTATTTTATCAAAGTACTAGATCAATTCAGTGGGATTCTGATTCAGTAGGCCTGGGCAGTCTCCAGGAAACTTCATTTTTAACTACTAGCCCATAGGATTCTGATGCAGATGGCCTGGGAAGACATTTTAGAAACCTAGCAGTAGATATTGTTAAGAGTAAGAAGCAAAAGGCCGGGCGTGGTGGCTCAAGCCTGTAATCCCAGCACTTTGGCAGGCCGAGGTGGGTGGATCATGAGGTCAGGATATCGACACCATGCTGGCTAACACAGTGAAAGCCCGTCTCTACTAAAAATACAAAAAATTAGCCAGGCGTGGTGGCGGGCGCCTGTAGTCCCAGCTACTCAGGAGGCTGAGGCAGGAGAATGGCGTGAACCCAGGAGGTGGAGCTTGCAGTGAGCCGAGATTACACCACTGCACTCCAGCCTGGGCGACAGAGTGAGACTCCATTTCTAAATAAATAAATAAAAAAGAATAACAAGCAAAAAAAAGAGACATCAAGGAGATGCACGTCAGTTAGATCACAGGAAGGTGAGACACCTGGCTACCAGAGATGATAACCAGCAGCCAGGGATAATAATTAAAGACAATGAAATTAAGTAATTAAAGAAAAATACTTACAGTGTGGGTGTTGATGATTTCACCAATGGAAATGTAGATTACTGGTTTGGTGAGGGTTACTAAATCAGAGTACTCATCCACATTAAATTTATCCTGAAGCTCTGGGACATCACAAGCAGTTTGGAAAAACCGTCTAAAATAAGCACAGGAAGCAGCCCCCCAAAAAGGGACATATGCATGAGAAGTTGGCAAGAGGACATTTCACAAACCTCTCACACAATGAGTGCAAACAGAAGCCAGTCAATATAGTTACTTCAAGAGAAAGTGCTGTGTGTTTGCTGTGCTTGACAACCTTGGGATACTGGCTCTAATAACTTCTTTCTCCACCTAGTTTGTAGTTTTAGTTTTATCCTTAAGAACCATTGCACCATGATTTAAAACTGTTCTCAGGCACCATTAGGAGAACCAATTCTATCTCTAAGACAGTGCTCTGAAGCATTCAAAACTAGATGTTAATTTACAAAAATTAAAAGCATTCTCCAATTCTTCTCTGATTACAAGGTAACGTACTAAATGCATAATCATCATTATTTTTATGTTAACTACTATCTATTTCATAAGTGTTAACTACTATGTATTTCATATGAAAATTCTCGGCCGGGCGCGGTGGCTCAAGCCTGTAATCCCAGCACTTTGGGAGGCCGAGACGGGCGGATCACGAGGTCAGGAGATCGAGACCATCCTGGCGAACACCGTGAAACCCCGTCTCTACTGAAAAATACAAAAAACTAGCCGGGCGAGGTGGCGGGCGCCTGTAGTCTCAGCTACCTGGGAGGCTGAGGCAGGAGAATGGCGTGAACCCGGGAGGCGGAGCTTGCAGTGAGCTGAGATCCGGCCACTGCACTCCAGCCCGGGCGACAGAGCGAGACTCCGTCTCAAAAAAAAAAAAAAAAAAAAAAGAAAATTCTCTTCAAAGTACATCGATCATCTTCTGGAGTCCCGGGCACATCAAACATGTCTTCTACAATATGGCAGTCAGGGAAAGTGAGGGGTGGTTTTTAATCTTATCTTTTCCCTCAATGATAAAAATACATCCACAGACTCTCTTAAGCACTTGTGCCTTTCCCCTTACCTGAATTTCTGGTAGGACTGGGAAAGATATTCATTAATGATGCTTAAGTGGGCATTATCTCCCAGAAACATCTTATTAGAAGCAGCATGCTGAAGCATTTTTGCAATGGAGCCCAGATTTCGGCGTTGGTCTGTGGTAAGCTGGCCTCCTGCCGACAGGTCAATGATGTCAAAGGCATCAGGAGCAACAATGGCTGGATTCATGTATCGATAATAAAGCAAGTTACCAATAATCTGGAACAGATGAAACAGAAAGATGGGTATTAAAAGACATACCACCAAGTAAGCCACAAATGACTTTGCTAGCAAAGAAAAGCAGAAAATGCAGTCCTATGAGTAAAAAATAAATAAAAAATACATACACACATGCACGCATGCACATATACACACTCTTTCTCATGGCCTGGAACTAAATGAAATATCCCTTTGTTCAATACAGGAAAACAATGAGAACAGAACTGAAAACTACTGCCAGTAGTTAATGAAAGAGCAGATTCAGAAGGTAAAAATGATACACTTAAAGTCTGTTATTAAGTATTTCAGGACATCTTTTGTTCACATATCATGGTAGCAAATAAGGCTGGTGTCACCCACGTGCACTTTGTACTTTCATGTAGATGGGTTTTCCTTATAAAAAGCTAACAAACATAGCTAAATTCCTTAACATGACCCAATCAGCATAGAGTAACCCCACCTCCCAACATTCTCATGCTGCAGACTTCAAAGGCCAAGTTCATGCCTCTGAAATTAAATTCACTTAACACACATCTGTTCCACAGAAGAATTCAGGGACAGTCACAGCATTTCCCCTAGAGTTTCATTCAGAAGAAATAAAATTAATTCACCTGAACAGAAAGTCTAGAATCGAGGCCTCACTGTAGGAAAGCACAGAACTAGGAGAGAGAAGAAAAAAGCATTCAGATTAAAAAAAAAGAAAAGAGAAGAGCACAGCTGAGTAAGAAAGAGCTATCAGCAACAGCCTTAGCAGAAATAACTGTGCTTGCTACTATTTGCCAGGTCACCAGCAGAGGGAACAATACTACAGCGAAAAGACAGGACTCAAAGAAACTCATCTGAAAACAGGAAAAATCCATCTTTCTACTTGTTTGATGTTTGTGCGCCAAACTATAGGAAGTGTTTCATCCTAAGAGAGGTATCATTTACCAATTACAATTGTTTTCAAAAGCTCACAATCAATGGCAAGCTACTGCCAGAACCTACACTTAGGCAGTTAGTAATGATCTACGGTCAGTCCTGCTTTTATAGCTTTGTCCTCAAAGGGCAGGAGTCTGCCGGCTATCAGATTCTTACCTTCAGCAGCTCATCCTCACCAGCATCAGGGAACTTCTCATGCAACGAGTCCTTCAGCACTTTGGCAATGAAGCGCATCCCATAACTGCGGGATGGACAAAACTTAGTGAGAAGGGCCAAGGAGCAGAAAGGCACTTACTGCTGGGCTCTACTGGGGGTCATGACAACTGATGGCACTCACGGGATTTTGTCCACAGAGCTGACAATGGCTGAGAGAAACTTGTCTGTCACAGCCCGCATGTTCCTGATGGAGCTGTCTAGCCGTGTCTTCACTTCTTCATGAGCTAGCGCCTGCTCAGGGGTCACATCATAGGGCAGTTTGCTGGGAAGAGAGAAATTATACCCAACTATGTTAGACTAACAGCCAGGGACAGCCTGAAGCAAGTGTCCTATCTTTCATAAACTGAAAGACCCAGAAATATTAGATAGCTTAAGCTCATGCTCACAGGGCTGGTAAGTGATAAGGCTAGAATCTGAACTCAGGTTTTTAACTGTGAATCAGGTGCCTGAATTGTGTGCCAGGCACAATAATAGGCATTTGGGAATAAAAGTTATACACGACATGATACCTTCTCTTGAGTCTTTTACAGTCTGGTGGGAGTGACACACAAACAAATGATTATAAACCTATTCTGCTGTAAATCAGTTCACCAAAAGTGCTACAGGACCATAGGGAAAGGGCTTCAACTCAGAATGGAAAAAGGAAGGCAGGCTTCCAAAAGGAAGGGATGCTTGAACTCAAGAAAACGGGAGAGGAAGAGTCTTCTAGGAAGGAAAGGGAGACAGGAGAAATGAGAGTGGAAAAGCAGACAGGGAGCAGGCCATGGCAGACCCTGTATATGATACTGACAAATCTGGACTTTGCTAGAAACCAGAGGGAGGTCTTCAAAGATAGGAGCGCTACGCCAGGAACAGCAGCACACACTAGCATTCCCAGCTACTAGGAAGGTTGAGGTGGGAGGATTGCTTGAGCAAGACCTTGTCTCAAAAAAAAAAAAAAAAAAAAAAAAAAAAAAAAAAAGAGGCAGAGAGAGCTTTGGTACACACAGAAGGGGAAGAGAAGGCAATGCGACCACAAAGGCAGAGGCTGGAACCACACAGCCACAAGTTGAGGGATGTCAACAGTCACCACAAGCTGTAAGAGTCAAGAAACAGTTTCCACTAGAGCCTCTGCAGGGAGTATGGCTCTTCCAGCACCTCGACTTCATGATAATGGTTTCAGATTTCTGGCCTCCACAATTGTGAGACAATGAATTTTGGTTGTTTTAAGCCACCAAATTTGAGGTGATGTGTTATGGCAGCCTTAGAAAATACAAGCAGAGGCCAGGTGTGGTGGCTCATGCCTGTGATCCCAACACTTTGGGAGGCGGAGGTGGGTAGATCACCTGAGGTCAGGAGTTTGAGACCAGTCTGGCCAACATGGAGAAACTCCATCTCTACTATAAATATAAAAATTAGCCGGGCATGGAGGCGCATGCATGCCTGTAATCCCAGCTACTCAGGAGGCTGAGGCAGGAGAATCACTTGAACCCGGGAGGCAGAGGTTGAGGTGAGCCAAGATCACACCATTGCACTCCAGCCTGAGCAACAAAGCGGGACTCTGTCTCAACAACAACAAAAGAAAAATACAAGTAGATAGGAATACCCTTCTTCATTTGTCACAGCATGGCTAATTTAAAATAGGTAGGCTATGAATACAAGAATTCTGCAAAAATCAACAGAAACATTCTATGAGAAATAAATAAATACATGGAACTTACAATAAAGAATATTACATATTTTATTATTTATATGATTTTCAAAAGTAGTAACCAGCAAGGGAATCAATACGCTAAAAAACATTGGTGATAGAACAGGATATTAACTTTCTGAGATTTTTAGGAAAGAACATTCCCAAGAGGTGACAAGATTCCAGTTTGCTACATGTATTGTGGCTGAAGTAAAAGAAGAAAGCTAAGGGACATGTGACGCTTACCTGCAGGACAGATCCCCACCACATCACCACACCTCATAGTCACTGGTATCTTAAAAAGAGTTCAAATCAATTTCCTTTTTTTTTTAAGATATGGGGTCTATGTCGCCCAGGCAGCACTCAAACTCCTGGGCTCAAGCAATCCTCCTGTCTTGGCCTCCTGAGCAACTGGGACTACCAGTGCATGCCACCATGCCTGGCTCAATTTCCATTTTATGAAAGGCAAAATAAGACCAGTTTCCCATAGGTACCCACAAGAAAACCAATCCTGAAATGTTCAGCAGGCTTTGGATCTAAAAATGACTGACTCATGGACTGTCAGAGGAAATAACTGAGAAGCCCTGAGCCGGTGTATATGGGGCTATCGGTAAGGAATGCCCTGGGTTGCAGGCAAAACTTCCCAGACAAGTATTGCACTTGGCTGACCACATTCCTGGATGTGCAGGCCTCAGGTATGCAGGCAAAAAAGTTAAAAAGACCTTTGCAATGATCTGAGTCCTGATAACAGACCTACATGGTACTGAGAACCAATCAGATGCCAAATGATTCCTAATAAGGATAAGCCCTTTCTTTCTTTTTTTGTCAACCTAGGATGGAGTGCAGTGGTGCCATCAAGGCACACTGCAGCCTCAACCTCCCATGCTCAACCGATCCTCCTGCCTCAGCCTTTGGAATAGGTCGAACTACAGGTGTGCACAACCATGCCCAGCTAATTTTTTTTTTTTTTAAGTAGGGACAAGGTATTCCTATGTTGCCCAAGCTGGTCTCAAACTCCTGAGCTCAAGCAATCCTCCTGCCTCAGCCTCCCAAAGTGTTGGGATTACAGGCGTGAGCCACCACGCCTGGCAAGATAAGCCCTTTCAAGGAGTCAGCAGAATGTTCTGTTCTCCACCCAGGGTACACCTCCCTGTTTGCCTGACATCCAGGTAAATGGAAAGTAGAATGATGTAGAATGGTGTTATTCAAAGTGTGGACCAGTGCCAGTCTACAAACTGATCAAAGACAAGATAAAGAGAATGAGTCAGAATATAAATCAATACATTGCTTCCGTCATTAAGAAAATCTTGCTATGAAAAAAAAGTATCAGTTGAACTAAACAGTGTGCACAGCTGATTTTCCATTACTGGTGTGCAAAGCACACTTTGAATAACAATGGTGTGGAGAGCTGCTACTCCGCCTGTGCCCAGAGAGCTTCATGCATGATCTAACCCTACTCCACAACAACAAGAAGAAACCACAACAGACCACGCTGCTCACACCTCCATTTCCCACCCCTCTGGGTCCTCACCCAAGATGAATAAAACCAGAAACATTTTGGCATTCTGAACTCCCTTTCCCCAGCATTACCCATATTTGATTGGCACACTTTTGCTTTAGATCAATTAATGTTGGTGGTTATGCTATGGCCCTAGCTCAGTTATCTCCTGTAATATGTTAATTTAATTAGCCCAACTCTTGATATTTCAGGGCAGCTCACCCCACACCATTTTCTTTTTCCTTTATTGAAACACAGTGATCTCACCCAATCTATATGAACCTTCTCATTCAACCACATCCCTAGTTATGCCAGGTCCTTTTAAGTCCTACACCCTCCACCTTAGAGTGTTTAGACATGAACACTGCACCTAGCTCTTAGTAAGGCTGGGTTCTTCTTAGCCTTTGGACCTCAGCTAAATGAAATTTTATCTTCTGGGATAGGCTTTCCCTAACCACCTTATGTTAGTTCCCTCTTATAAAGTCTCCATTACAGAACCCTACTTCATAAAACTTTCCTCAATGTTTAATTATGCTTTTATTTTTATGTATCTGGTTGGTGTCTCTTCCACCCAATGAACTATGAAGAGAGGGCAGGGAGCATGTCTGTTTCACTCATTATTGCATTACTGTACACATCTCTAACACAATGCCTGGCACACAGTAAGTACTCAATAAATATTTGCTAAATAAGTGAGTTTATTACCAGGTCAACAACTTATAAAGCAGAGTTTTCTAAAGAAAAACTATTTCAGGCTGGGTGTGGTGGCTCACGGCTGTAATCCCAGCACTTTGGGAGGCCGAGGCAGATAGATTGCTTGAGATCAGAAGTTCGAGACCAGTCTGGCCAACATGGCGAAACCCTTTCTCCACTAAAAATACAAAAAGTAGACAGGGGTGGTAGCGCGTGACTGTAATCCCAGTTACTCGGGAGGCTAGGGCATGAGAATTGCTTAGACCCAGGAGGTGGAGGCTGCAGTGAGCCGAGATTGTGCCACTGCACTCCAGCCTGGGCGACAAGAGTGAAACTCTGTCTCAAAAAAAAAAAAGAAAGAAAGAAAAGAAAAATTATTTGAACTAATATTAGTTTATAAATAAAGAGGGGGAAAAAAGCAGGAAAGAAAATAACAACATGAAAGAAAAGTGTTATTATGGTTAACATACCTTGCCTCTCCTGTCTGAGACTCCATCTGATTAACCCAAGATTTGTAAATATCCACAGGGTCAGTTTTGATGTTGAGAGATTTGTCATCCATAATTTCCTTCACGACTGGGGCCAAGATCTGTCTCAGGGCATTCTGGCCACGCGCACCACGGTTGAAACTTACAACCATTTTAATAACCGTAGGATTTCCTGTGACAATCTCTTGAATCTGATCTACCTTCGACCTATAAAACATCAGATAAAAATTTAAACTTGTCACAGAATCCATCAACTTAAAAGATCCTTCCTGCTTAAAGATCTATCTCCCTGAAACGGTTTCTCTTGAAACACTCCCCGGCACTCACAGAACATTCCTGCAGCTGTACACTCAATCATGGTCACGATTAGGTCCGCTACTAGATAAAAATGTGAAATCTTCCTGTTCAGATCACATTTTGAAATTATACCTTAATACAGAATGTTCCTAAAATTAACTTATCCCTTCCCTAGAAGCAGCAAGATTTTATATCAGTTATTTAAAAATTAGATGCTTCTTTAGAGTAAGTATTTTTCATAAATTAATCGAGATCAAGAAAAGATCAGGAAGGCATGAATCTCAAACTGGGAGCCCCTGTGTTAGTGGGAAGGGGCCTATGCCCTTAAGAAATCTGTTCATACTTGATTTCCTCTTGAAGCGCTGTCTTAAAGAGCCGCAGGAGCAGGTACTCTTCTCGCTGGTTGGATGCGTAGTTGTAGAGTGTGAAGATTACAGAGTCCATGAACTTGGTGGACTTGTTCTGGGGCATCTGAAAAATTAGCTTGGCCAGATAGGTGGGATTGGTCTGAAATAAAACCAAGGGATAAGTCATCTGTAGGTAATATAAAGGCTGGCAAGGTATATTCAATTATTTAAAATTGAAGGACTAGAATATATATGAGAAAAAAATTAATAAATTAACGTATTACAGTGCCCGTCACTCACCCCTCAGTGGAATTCAAAAATATTTCCAGAGAGATCAATGGGTAAGGCTTTCTTGTGGAAAAACAAATTCACTAAATTTTTATAACACTGATTCCAGGAGCCACTTACTTGCAATAAATAAAACAGGTGCTGGTAAGCTTCCAACTTCTCTCTCTTCTCCTTGCTCAAAGCCTTGAGACCTCCCTTCTGTTTATTTATCATCATCATATCAGACAACTGTTCCTTATTTTTTTTGGTAAGTTTTTTACTGTGGGAAACCACATCCTGTAAACAAAAATCAATACATAGATCAGAAAGCCTTCAAAGATGAACCTCTGGGCATTGAGGAAAGGTTTTGTAGCACGTGCAAACTCACATGAAGGTCTACTGCACTGGCAGATTCCCACCGAATATTTTAAAATCACTACACTTTATCCTGTTTTCAGTATACCAATCAAATCCATTCCTATGTTCCAACAAAGAACCTGAGCCACAAGAATGTCCACTGAATTGGGAAACCAACTTCTAGCAATCTATTATAAAAATAATAGCTACATATATACTGAAACAATAATTGCAATGTTATTTATAATAAATGCTTGGAAAACAACCTAAATGTCAAATACCAGGGGAAAAAGAGGTAAATTAGAGTATTATTTTCTAAAAATCTATTATGCTACTGTTAAAAATAATACTTACAGCTGGGTGCAGTGGCTCACACCTGTAATCCCAGCACTTTGGGAGGCTGAAGCAGGAGGATCACTTGAGCCCAGGAGTTTTGAGACCAGCCTGGACAACACAAAGAGACCCTACCTCTTATAAAAATATAATTTGCCAGGCGTGGTGGTGCGCACCTGTTGTCCTAGCTACTTGAGAGGCTGAAGTGGGAGAATCACTTGAGCCTAGGAGGTCGAGGTTGCAGTGACTCATGATCATGCCACTGCACTCCAGCCTGGGGTACAGAGGGAAACTCTGTTTCAAAAAAAAAAAAAAAAATTTTTGACTACTTATCATAGCGAAAGAGTCTTATCCTTTAATATGAAGTAAGAACGTAAGATACAAAATGACTGGGGTATGTGAAATTAGGGGAAGACATTTATCTTCTTTTCTCTATCTAAATTTTGTCTATTAAATTGCTTTATGTCTTAAATAATTTTTTTTTTTTTGAGACAGAGTTTCACTCTGTCACCCAGTCTGGAGTGCAGTGGTGCAATCTTGGCTCACTGCAACCTCTGCCTCCCAGGTTCAAGTGATTCTTCCACCTCAGCCTCCTGAGTAGCTGAAATTACAGGCATGTACTACCATGTCCAGCTAATTTTTTATATTTTTAGTAGAGACAGGGTTTTACCATGTTGGCCTGGCTGGTCTCAAACTCCTGGCTTCAAGTGATCCGCCCTCCTCGGCCTCCCAAAGTGCTGGGATTATAGGTGTAAGCCATCATCCCTGACCTGTCTTATACAACTTTTTAAAAAGGTTATGATGGCCGGGCACAGCAGCTCAGCCTGTAATCACAGCACTTTGGGAGACCAAGGTGGGTGGATCAATCACTTGAGGCCAGGAGTTCGAGACCAGCCTGGCCAACATGGTGAAACCCTCGTCTCTACTAAAAATGCAAAAAAGCTGGGTGCCGTGGCTCACACCTGTAATTCCAGCACTTTGGGAAGCTGAGGCAGGTGGATCACCCGAGGTCAGGACTTCAAGACCAGCCTGGCCAACATGGCGAAACGCTGCCTTCACTAAAAATACAAAAATTAGCAGGGTGTAGTGGTATGTGCCTGTAATCCCAGTTACTTGGGAGGCTGAGGCAGGAGAATCACTGAACCTGTAAGGCAGAGGTTGCAGTGAGCCGAGATCACACCATTGCACTCCACCCTGAGCGACAAAAGGGAAACTCAGTCTCAAAAAAAAAAAAAAAAAAAAAAGCCAAAAAGCAAAAAATAAAAAACATTAGCCAGGTGTAGTGTCACATGCCTATAATCCCAGCTACTCAGGAGGCTGAGGGAGGAGAATCGCTTGAACCTGGGAGGCAGAGGTTGCAGTAAGCTGAGACCACATCACAGTACAACCTGGGCAACAGAGTGAGATTTGGTCAAAAAAAAAAAAAAAAAAAAAAAGGCTTATGGCAGTAACTGAGAAGAAGGTCAGCCTCCACCCTCCCCACCAGTCAGAAAGGGAAATGCAAGGGTTACAAAGCAGGATGAAGTGTTCCAAGACCCCGCTGGCACTGGGCCATACCTGCAATGTAATCTTATTTTTCACTAGCAGTCCAATTTTGATATCCATGAGATTGAGGTCATTCTCCAGCTGCTGGTTAGAACGAATGAGGGTGATAACCTCTTCCCGCATCTTCATAAGGTCAAGCTCCTCCTGAAAATCCTGGTCACTTTGGTCCAGCAGGTGGACAAATTTTCGGACCACAATCATAGGAGGATCCTCAGCATTGACTGACAGAAAGTATGCATCAGACAAAGAATGGAGTTACCAGAAAAAGTACTATGTCTCAGAAAATAGCACTGTCTTGAAAAAGTAGTTCTATTCACACACATTTAATTTTGAGATGTGCCAAGACAACTATCAGATGCAGTCTTCTGTGTCAGGCTATTGCTATGTTATGATAAAGGTTAATGCAACAAGCCAACCAGATACCTAGCCACATGTTAGCAAAGGGACTTATGTCACAGGTCACACCCTCTCCCCCAAGCCTTGCCTTCAGGACAGTAAAAGAGGTCTGTGGAGAATACCCTGAACTTGGTGGCTCCAAGCCACTGCCTCAACTCTTCACGCGGAGCCAGTTACTCACTGAGAGTCTTGTAGTCATCCCGAGCTTTGTTTGCCCGAATAAAAGCCTGGATTTTGATAATGTCATTTATCTAAGGAACAAAAAAGAAGAAGAAATTCCTCTGTTCATCTGTCTACCAAAAATATGGCAAAGCAGCTCCTAATGGCCTGTATGATCCAAGGGTGCTTACATGGTCCCGGAAGTACTGCAGGCGATCTCGATAGCGCTTTCTAGCCTGGTGCATCCTTGCCAGGGACTGAATCTATGGAAAAGGGATCCTGAAAATTAGAAGAGTCCTTCATCTCAACATGTGTTATACCTGCACCCCTCATGGAGAAACCCTGCTCAGGCTACCATACCTTTACAACTTCGTCTTTGTGGGAACGCAGGTAAGCTAACCGATCTTGATATGCCTTCTTCTGCTTGTACCCTCTCCACTGCGACTGAAACAATCAAATGTTACAGAGGACATATTACTTCCCAAGCATCAATGGAAGTTAAAAAAAAAAAAAACCTTTCATCTTGATATATGATCCAAGTACAATTTCATGATGAAGTTTTAGGAAGGACCACTTCCAACAGTGACAGGGGAACAAGGGCATGGGCCATCCCTCCACTGGAAGAACACGATGGCTACATTCTACTTCCCCAACGTCAGCACAGCCCTGCACACCTTTTATAGTGCAGCCATACAGATTCATTTACTGGCTTTTTCCAACAAATCAAGTGAGGAAGATAAGATACAATGGGGTATTCCCCTTTTACAGATGGGGACACAAACTTGGAGATTCACCACTGTCTGGTAGCAGTGCAACCATCATTCCTAACTCAGAATTCTTTCTAGGACATTGTTCCGCCTTATCATTGAAGCAAAACCACAGTTGTTTTCCTCGGGGTTCAAATCTTACAGAAAGGTATAGTCTTAGAAGAAGAGAGGAAGAGGTACCCAAGAACTGCCACTGTGCCACCATTAAACACCTGTAGGCACACTACGGTTATATGGTAGTAAAGAGGAGGTACCTGTCAAAGAAAAGAGAAGACTAAGAGTCCAGAACTCAAAAATCACACTCAGACAGTCAATGGTGACAGCTGACCGTTTATTACCCCTGCTCTAGATGCCCGCTTGCTGTCTGTGTGATAGGTTCTGAAATACCTGAATGCAGGTGATGGCAGGGATTTGTTTCTTCAGGAAATTCATCCTGGATCGGAATTCCTGTCGAACTAAGTATCCACGGCAGCGAGCCTGCAGCCTGGTGATCAGGCCTTCGTTAGCCAGCCACAGCTGTTCTCGGTTATATGCAGCAGTCACCCCAGAGATAGAACTCTGAAAAAGCAGTGGTTACATTCAAAGACATTTACAGGCAAGAATGGATGCAGGTTTTCTCAAAGTATCATCCACAGCACACAAGCTAACACTCCTGCTTCCTAAGTCTATACTGTATCATTAGCTACGCGACATGAACAAAGCCCTCAAGTCTGTTTTTCAGAACCAGGTTGTTCTCACACACCTCCTCCCACCTAGAAAACATCATAAACAAAAACTTAATCTTCTTTTGCTTCATATGTCATCTCACTTATCCATCTATCCAACACTGACTAGGCTGGGCACTGTGCTGGCTGATCTGGGGTCACTGCAGACAAGAAAAGAGTGACAGGTACCGAACAGGGCTGTGTGCCAAATATCAAGGGACCCCTAGAATGTTACAATGCAGGACATTTCAGGGGGAGAGACCAGAGGTGAGGACTGAAAATTGCTTCCCCAGGCAGATTGCAAATGGTCTTGAAAAGTAGCCTAGAGGGTTTGGATTGTTACTAAAGATACTGGAGAACCAGAAAACTCTGTCAAGCAAAGGAATAAAACAATCAGATGTTTATTATTTATTTTAGAGACAAGGTTTCGTTCTGTCACCTAGGCTGGAGTGCAGTGGTGCAATCTCAGCTTGCTGCAGCCTCAAATTCCTGGGTTCAAGCAATCCTCCCAGCTCACCTCCTGAGTAGCTGGGGCTACAAGCGTACCAGCACACTTGGCTAATTTTAATTTTTTAAAAAACATTTTTTGAAGAGATAAGTCCTCATTATATTGTCCAGGGTGGAGATTATTTTTAGAAAAACAACACTGTTAGGAAAGTAGCTGACAGATTAGAGTGAGGTGAGACTTCAACCAAGGGGGTGAATTACAATGCTGCTATTGCGATCCAAGTGAGAGATGGCCTGGGCTTCAACAAGGGCAGCAGGAGTGAGAATGGTTAGGAACATCTGGTTACCTATCCAATATCCACCTTCTCCTTTCTCCTTGGTAACAGAGCCTTGATTTTTTTTTTTTCTTTTTTTCTGGGCAACACTGTACGCACTTAAAAGACTCCACGAGTGGTCAGGCGCGGTGGCTCACGCCTATAATCCCAGTACTTTGGGAGGCTGAGGTGGGTGGATCACCTGAGGTCAGGAGTTGGAGACCAGCCTGGCCAACATGGAGAAACCCCGTCTCTACTAAAAATACAAAAATTAGCCGGGCATGGTGGTGCATGCCTGTAATCCCAGCTACTCAGGAGGGTGACACAGAATTGCTTGAACTCGGGAGGCGGAGGTTGTGGTGAGCCGAGATCACGCCACTGCACTCCAGCCTGGGCAGCAAGAGCGAAACTCCGTCTCAAAAAAAAAAAAACAAAAAACAAAAAAACAAAAAACAAAAAACTCCATGAGGTAGAGAGAGGTCATGCACTGTGAGCAGCAGTAGTACGGCAAGACCTTTGAGAAAGCTCCTTGAGAGAGACAGCTGGCAGCACACCTTTTTCGCTTTCCTTCCCCTTCTTCCTACTTCCTGCTTGGACTGCTAACTTGATGGTCAAAGCTCCAAGCAGTCACTATAGGTAACAAGGTGACCTCGAGAATGGAAGCCACATGACAGAGCACAAAGATGGAGGATCCTTGGACAGATGACACCATGGAGCCACATTTTCCCTGGACTGCTGAACTGCAGAATCATTTCACGTGAGATAAAAATACAACCTTACACACTATTGCAGCCTCTGGTTTTTTCCTATTTAACTGTGTTTGAGGTGTCTGCTGGACTTCTGGACTGCAAAAGGAAGGGCAAAAACCTGGTGGTGGGGAAAAGTGCTAATGTCTGGAAGTACAGATTTAGGAGTCACAAGCACAGGGTTAAGGGCTGGAGCCACAGGCTCGAAAGAGATCACTCAGAAAGAATGCGTAGACGAAGAGAAGAGGGCCAATGGAATCTTCATATAATTCAAGCAGAGGTAGAGAAAGGAAGGTAGCAAGAGAGATTAAGAAGGAACATTCAGAAGTAGGAAAATCAGAAGAGAATTGTATGGGAGAAGCCAAAGGAATTAAGGGTTTGAGGAAGAGACTTTTGACAAGTCATATACGATGAGTGCTCAGAACTGAATTTGCCAATTAAAAGGTTATTGATGAATTCTAAAATAAGAGTTTTACTAAGTAAAAGCTGGACAGGAAACCACACTGCTGTGAGCTAAGAAGTGGATGCTAACAGACAGTGAATTAGTGACGAGTAGACTAACTTTCAAGGCCCTTAGCAAGAGTATGAATGTGGGTGAGGCCAGATCAAGGCCCTTAGCAAGAGTATGAATGTAGGTGAGCCCAGTTCAGGGAAATTCCATGGGCTTTAAAAAATGTTTGTATTATTATTTTTTCAAAGATGTGGGAAATAAAGATGCCTACGTATGTAGGCTGCTACTTAAAATACAGTCCTTGGGCCAGCAGCATCAACATCACCTGGCAGCTTGTCAGAAATGTAGATTTTCTCAGAACTCACACTAGAATCAGAGCCTTCATTTTAACAAGATCCCAGGTGATTCAGACAGACATTAAATCCTGACAAACACTGGAGGAAGAGCATCAAAAGTATAAGGTCTGCAAGGAACTGGGAGAGGATGAAATCAAGCAGTAAGATAAATAATGAGCTTTAGAAAGGACAGCTGTTTCCTCTGGAGAGAAAATGAAGAAGGAATCAGTGAAAATCCAAGTAAGCTGAAAGTACAGAGAGTGGGGAGTACAGAGTGGGAGGATCTATATGTGATGGCCACTATTGTTGGCAGGGGAGGTAAAAGGTCAGGTCACATGCTGAAAATGAGGTAGCATCCCTTCCCGTTTAAATTCTTAGGTCCATATATGCAAAACACTATTCAAACATGAGTGTTTCTGTGGAGGTTAATAAGATTCTCAAAGGTGTCCCTGACCTAACAAGAGTTAAAAATCACTCTGCTAGAAGTTGTACCCTGAATTCCCTAGCACAGCATATTAGGCCCTCAAGCTTCAATCTGGGCCTCTTGTCCTGCCACACCTACCATGTGCCAGGTAATACACCATTCATCTCTCCCTCAGGGGTCCATATCCTTTCAGTACTCTGTGCTTTTTCCTTTTCTATTTTCTTTCCTACTTTCTTTTTATAATTTCAGCAAGCTCATCCTTAACTTTCCCTTTCTGTCTAGAACAGCCTTTTCTTTTTTTCTCAGCTGCTAAAATATTATCTATGCTATGTTACTCCAGGACAAAATTAAAATTTCCCTTAAGACTTCCCTTATTGTGCTGTTATTAGAGCACCACTTCTCTCTGCCTTACATTACAGTACTCGGTTTTGTGTCTGCTGTTTTCACAACACTGTGAAATACTGGGAGGTAGAGACTCTCTGATACCTATTTTCTATCTTCTTAATGCCCAGAACAGAGTTCAGTGAATTCAAATTTCATCACCTGTGAAATCATTAGCAATGAAAATGAAACACTGGAAAGGTAAGACACTGTAACCCACCATATAAAGAGAACTTTAACCACAAGGTAGAAATCATCTGATGGTAACTCCTGAATAAAGGAACTATTTCACTTTTTCCACAGGTGTATTTTTGACTTGTTCCACACAGGATTTGGGAAATATTGACAAAGGGAAGTCAATGACCTTTTGAAAATATTTTATTGTCCTTTTTCTCTAGGAATCTTGAATGTCTATTAGTAATGTATCTAATCATGACCTACAGGAGCTTACTGAACATCTTCCCTCAGTATATATTCTTCCCCTTTAACATTCATTAAACAACTCTGGTTTAATTGACAGGAGTGCAGCACCAAGTTAAGCCTTAAAAGTCCTCAACAGTCTATCAATGACAATGTAACTCCCACTTAGAGAAAGTACTGCAAACTTAGCAGCTCACCTTAAAAACTACTAGGGGGCATAGACAAGCACAAATGTGACTAAAATTCGAATCCAAGTACATTAAATTCTGAATGAATACAAAGTTCTTTGGGAGCTTCAAAGGAAGATGAAGGGGGTAAGGAAAGGAAATTTTAAAAAGATTCTTAGAGGAGGTGACTTGAGATGGGTGTGTTTGGAGGACTGAATTTTTAAGGAGGACTGAATTTTTAAATTAAATTTTATTTTTCTGAGACAGGGTCTTGCTCTGTTGCCCAGGCAGGAATGCAGTGCTGGGATCGTGGCTCATTATAGCCTTGACCTCCTGGGTTCAACTGATCCTTCCACCTCATCCTCCCAAGTAGTTAGAATCCCAGACACACACCACTACGCCCACCCAGCTAATTTTTGTATTTTTTGTAGAGATGAGGTTTCACCATGTTGCCCAGGCTGGCTTGAACTCCTGGGCTCAAGCAGTCTTTTTGCCTTGGCCTCTCAAAGTGCTGGGATTACAGGTGTGAGCCACCATGCCCAGCCTGAATTTTTTTCTTTTTTTGTATCAAGAATCAGTACAAAGGGAAGGATGGAATTTTGACAGATATGGATGGCAGGAGAGAGACATCTCACGACAGCAGAGACTTTGGTTCATGACTATATCCCCATTCCTTAGAAGAGTACCTGCTACATTTGAGGTATCTGACAAATAACCGTTGAATGGGCTGGGTGCGCTGACTCACACCTGTAATCCCAGTACTTTGGGAGGCTGAAGTGGGTGGATCACTTGAGGCCAGGAGTTCGGGACCAGCCTGGCCAACAGGGCAAAACCTCGTCTCTACTAAAATTACAAAATTAGCCAGGTGTGGTACACGTCTGTAATCCCAGCTACTCGGGAGGCTGAGGCAGGAGAATCGCTTGAACCTAGGGAGGTGGAGGTTGCGGTGAGCCGAGACTGCACCACTGCACTCTAGCCTAGGTGACACAGTAAGACTCTGTCTCAAAAAAACAACAACAACAACAACAACAACAAAAAAAAAAACTGTTGGACAGCATAAGCAAAGACACAAAGACACAGAAGATGAAAAAGTACTTTAAAAGCTCTATGAAAACGCTACCTTTATTTGAAAGTGCAGGTTGTAGCTAATATAATTCATGGAACAGTCAGAAAAGAGACTGAAAATACAAACTGGGAAAGATTAAAGAAGTTGCATTTAATGGAGTCAGCAACCTTCCATTTTTCTTTTATAGATCATCTAACTTTTCTTAGCACATGGTTCATATCACTTAATTCTATAATTCAGATGTTTTACAAATTCAGGCCTTAGTCACTACCCCAACTACTACAAAAAAATTAGCCCAAAACAGCTCATTACATAACCTCAGTTTTAGTCTAGGGTTTCTGACCACACGCCCTTTTCCTCTTAGTAATATCATAGCTTGAAAACACTTTCTCTCAGCTTCTTCTTATGTGAAGAAAGGTGACTTACCTGGATCTCCTCCCGAGAAAGCTGCATAGAATTTTGCACAAAATTTGGGGGTTCGTCCCATCCTCCTTCCTGGGTCTCCAGATTGTGGTAATAATAATATCCACCTTTTACCCAGTGCTTCACCCACTTGCTGTTATTATCTCCTGGCAGAAAATAAAGGAAAGATAGAAGACACCCAGAGCCACACTCCCCAGCTGTACACATCCCGAACTGCAGGATTATTACAGTCAGTTCTCACAGTCTAAATGAAGACCACTCCAAAAGCTGCTCCTTGGATCTGTGAGAGTAAAGGCGGGATCCTAAGCCCCCATTAAATTATGGCTTTGTAATGACTAACTTAGCTCATTTATGTCTGTAAGAAGAAAATACCTATGATGTGCAATTATGGAATTAACCATGATTAACTTTGTTTATTCCAAAGCCTATGTTTAAGGCCTGTCTGTCTTAAAAAATTTGCAACCATTGAGCCTCTCCAATTTTTCAATTTATTTATTCATTTATTTTTTGAGACACAGTCTTGCTCTGTCGCCCAGGCTGGAGTGCAGTGGCACGCTCTTGACTCAATGCAGCCTCTGCCTCCTGGGTTTAGGTGATTTTCCTGCCTCAGCCTCCTGGATAGCTGGGAATACAGGCGCACGCCACCACGCCCAGCTAATTTTTGTATTTTTAGTAGAGACAGGGTTTTACCATGTTGGCCAAGCTGGTCTTGAACTCCTGACCTCAGGCAATTCACTCGCCTTGGCCTCCCAAAGTGCTGGGATTACAGGCGTGAGCCACTGCACCCGGCCCAGTTTTTCAATTTTTAAAAGTCCATAAAATGTCATAAAAAATCTTAAGTTTTTCCTGGTTTTTATACTCAAACTACTTTTAATTGCCTATAGGCTTAATCAGAACCACTGCTACTCTGTGAAAGATAAGCAGTTAAATATTTTAATCTTTCCCACATTCTCAGAAAATTGGCCTTGTTAACACAGCTGTCCACAAAGGGGGGGAAAAGGATATTTTCAAAAACAGGGATTTTTATCTCCTTTAAAATGAGCCTAAGTACCGTACATCTATGCTAAAAGATCTTTCCCTATAGCTTATCCCTTTCCTCTACATCTGTCCCCTCGTATACTCAAGGGTTAGCTTCAGGGCACATATGTATTACCCCAGAACTCACCTACTGCCAGTTTTTTCTTCTTGGCTTCAGCAAGGTCACTCTGGTAAGTTTCACCACATTCAGGGATGACTCCATATAAGCCAACATCAGGGGAACGAAGGGCACTCAGTGTTTTGCCAACATCACCACTTTCTACTGCCTCGTTAATGGCAAAGATTCCTAAAGCAACTATTCCGGGAAAGAATTGTTACTAGAATAGTTTAGAGAGTGTCTTAACTCACATACTGGTTCACTTAACTATATCTACTGGCAAATTGTTCCCCCATACCTATCTTGGTCAAGCTGTATGGAGCACCTTGTCACCCCCAGCCTCCACCAAAACAGAAATAAAACAGGTGATACATACACTTCTGTGCTTCTTGGGTGTCTTTGTTGGACTGCCAGATTCCACCTTGAATTTCATCCAACCATAACACGGCTGACTCATCCTGGATTTCCTACATATCATTGAAACCAAAATATTAAAGTCATGAAATTGGGGTACCTGTAACATACATGTGATGAGGGGGGTTTCCCAGACACAATTCAATATGGAAGAACAGGCTTAAAAAATATGAGACACGTGGGTTAGTCAAATGGAAGAAGTAGGCATCAAAAAACTGGTAAAAGATTGGGTGCAGTGACTCACACTTGTAATCCAACACTTTGGGGGGCTGAGGCAGGAGGAATGCTTGAGCCCAGGAGTTCAAGACCAGCCTGGGCAACATAATGAGACCCCATCTCTCTCTAAAAAAATTAGCCAGGCATGGTGGTGCATGCCTATAGTCCCAGCTACTAGGGAGGCTGAGGCAGAAGGATTGCTTGAGCCCAGGAGGTTAGGCTGCAGTGAGCCGTGTTCTTACCACTGCACTCCGGCCTGGGCAACATAGTAAGACCCTGTCTCCCAAAATGAACAAACTGGTAAAGGTCATAAGGGAAATGGCTCACATGTAGGTGAAGATTATATAAAGATGAATTTAAGTGATTCAGGAGGAGTAGTTCAGCTAGAAGGGGCAAGAGGCCCAGATAGATTGGGAAGGGGTCCAGAGACTTTAACAGGGTGACAAGGGCCAGGGTATATATATAAATATGCAGTACTTATTTGAAAGCCTCCTTTGCCAACAATATTCAGAGGAAGTTAATGTTCTCTATGACTACTAATGTTTTTAAGACTGCCAAGTCTTACTTTAACCAGAACCTTTGAAGTATCACATTTAAAGCCAGGAGTCACTACAGGCAGTCTACATTTCTTACCAGCTGATATCCTAAAACTTGAATGTTAAATCAGTTGCTGGGAACTTAAAAGCAAATTTTCACAGAGAAACATAACGAATGTTGTGATTACTTTCCTTAGTACAGCCTCACAGCATAGTCTGAGTTGACTATTGCAGACAGAGAAGATGTATGATGTAGTGGAGGTGACTTACGTTCCTCTTTCTAAATTCGTTAAGACAATTTTCTTTTTTAAAAGAGCTTGTTGGTGAGCATTTGCTCTGAACGGCATTTTAAACAGAAATAGATTAGTAGAAATATATTCCTCTAGTATTTTCCATTTTTTTTTTTTTTTTTTTTTTTTGAGATGGAGTCTCGCTCTGTGGCCCAGGCTGGAGTGTGGTGGCGCAATTTCTGCTCACTCAAGCTCCGCCTCCCAGGTTCACACCCTTCTCCTGTCTCAGACTCCCGAGTAGCTGGGACTACATGCACCCACCACCACACCCGGCTAATTTTTTGTATTTTTTTTTAGTAGAGACAGGGTTTCACCGTGTTAGCCAGGATGGTCTCAATCTCCTGACCTTGTGATCCGCCCGTCTTGGCCTCCCAAAGTGCTGGGATTACAGGCGTGAACCACGGCGCCCAGTCGTATCTTCCAATTTTCAAGAATGTGGCTGCCATATTCCAATTTGGGGAAGTAGTTTAAGGATTAGCCCCAGGTAGTCACTACCGTTACTGAGAGTTAGCACAACAGGATTCTACTTCTACCTACTCGCAGTGTGAGAGTCAGAATTAGAAACCACTGCTGATAACCCCGTTAGATTTCCGTGGTCACATTGAGGTTTTGCAAGCTTCAACGATTTCAAAGAGTGGGGGTCCTTTGTTAAGATGCCTGTAAGGTCTTTACAGAAAGCATCAATTCAGCAGAATACTGGGGCACTCTTCTCTAGAAAAGACAAGACACTTCAGGTTTTAAAGTGGCCAGGTTGTGGGAGTCATGTTTGTGGTGATCTGGGCAGACCCAACAAAATTAACATACTCATGAGGCTTGAGCTAACAGCAATTGGTATAAACAGCAGCTCAAAAATTCATTTAGATTGCCTGATGTGAATATAATTTGCCAAGGCACGAATGAGGCAGAATAAAGAACTCAATAAATCACCATAACTGTGTCCAAATGAGGGTCTGAGCTGTGACGCAAAGTGAAATGTTTGACTGCCCAACAGCTGAAGTCACAAAACCTTAGGGAAGGCTTGGCTTTCCTCCTGTTTTATCAGAGAAAGACACAACATTTCATTCCATATAGTGAGGCAGCCACAATTCCTACAATTTATAAAGAGTGCAGGTGACAGAATAAGGGCAAGGGAAAGCATCTGAAATTGAAAGCAGTGATTTCTCCTAAATGGAGTCTTTTAGAAAGATCATTTAACCTAATTGTGGTAGATTCTGGCCTTACAATTCTAAGAGGCACTGTCCCAATTTTAAGAAGCTCACAGTGTTGGGATAGGAAAAGAGTAAACAGATAAACAGAATGCAAGAACAAATAAATCACTTAAAAGCTGCAGAACCTAGTACCTTCCTACCACTAGCCGCTTCCTATTACCGAAAATAGAAACTGACAACACACAATCCCCTAGAGTCCTAAGAATAACTACTGGAAATACTAGGCAATATTTCCAATGTGAGACAATACAATGAGTCAGCTGCAGGCTTGTAACAACTTAAACTGACAAGTCATAAGCAAGAGGGCTGATGGTCCGGTCTCCAAGAGAAGCAGTATAAAACTCCGTGCATCATAAAAACAGAAGCATTTCCACAGAATCAAGTCATTTTTGGTTCACTTCTGGGATAATCATACAACAGATATCTGAGCAGAATCTGCTGTAAGCAAAGTTGTGAGACTTAGCACAACCTCCCTTGCATTCAGAGAGAAAGGCAGAGCCTTTCTGAGCATTCAGAATTCTTTCTTCCTTGCCCCATGCAGATTAAAGTAAAACCTTTCATACATACTCCTTAAGAAATAAGCAGTAGAGCAATAGTATGAAAGAAAAGAAAAAGTGAATGGATGGGTGTCTCAGGTGTTTCAGGGAAACATAATAGAGAAAAGCCCCTCACCAGAATGAAAAAGGAAAGAGAGAGCATACACTACCTCATCCCAGGTTCTTTCTGCTCCAATTAGACTGAATAAAATGACAAAACCTAAATCCTTCTGGTAAAATTTATTTTAAAGAGATCACCTAAGATTAACTCAAATCACTGAGCAGAGTGTTAAAACCCAGGTTAGATATTATGGACAGAAAACAGATTTGCTGTAAAAATGCTATATAAGATATATTAAAGTACAGCTCTCTAACAACTCTGACACTTAGAAACACTCATTGCATTTCAGAAGAGGTAAAGAGATAAGGACCAGAAGTCAGAATTTAAAAAGAGAGGGCAATGATTGGAGGTAGAAGAGGTGAAGAAGACACAAAACACAGGGAAAGAGAAGAGACAAAAGAATGACTATGTTATGTACATATGTATATGGAAAGCACACACTTACACATCCCTCTAAAGGGCACCTCTCACCACTCAAAACTTTTTAAAAAGCCTTTACTATGTGGCATGGTTTGCATGTGTGATGATAGACACAATATTACATATATAAATACATAACCACATATATACCACATACACACATAAACACACATACACAAATCTGTACAACATATTTATCAACTATACAGCATAAGCACTGACCAATTAGGATGGAGCAGAGTCCTTATGGCCACTGCTGGTTTAGTTGCCGTATAGTGGGATTTCAATTAGAGTTGGGGAGTGATGGCACACATATTGGGAGGGTTGGGACAGTAACAATGTACCAAACAAAATAGAAGTATTTCAATGTCCTAACAACTGGTACAGCTGTGCCGGTGTGAACCAGCTGATTACTAGCTACATGCATATAAGCATGTGTGCACAAGTGCATATACACACAAGGAGGTCAGAGAGAGATTTAAGTCATTCCTGTTTTTGAGACAGTGTCTCGCTCTGTCGCCCAGGCTGGAGTGCAGTGACCCGATCTCGGTTCACTGCAAGCTCCGCTTCCTGGGTTCACGCCATTCTCTTGCCTCAGCCTCCCGAGTAGCTGGGACTACAGGCGCCCGCCACCATGCCGGGCTAATTTTTTTTTTTGTATTTTTAGTAGAGACGGGGTTTCACCCTGTTAGCCAGGATGGTCTCCATCTCCTGACCTCATGATCCACCCACCTTGGCCTCCCAAAGTACAAAGATTACAGGCATAAGCCACTGTGCCCGGACGATTTAACTCATTCTTATTCTTTCTTCTTTTATTTTATTTGTTTTTTTTTTTTTTTTTTTTTTTTTTTGAGGTGGAGCCTTGCTGTCACCCAGGCTGGAGTGCAGTGGTGAGATCTCTCAGCTTACTGCAACCTCCTATTCCTGAGTTCAAAAAATCCTCCTGCCTCAGCCTCTTGAGTAGCTGGGACTACGGGGTGTGCCACCACACCTGGAACATTTTTGTATTTTTAGTAGAGATGGGGTTTCGCCATGTCAGCCAGGCTGGTCTCAAACTCCTGACCTCAAGTCATCCGCCTGCCTTGGCCTCCCAAAGTGCTGGGATTATAGGTGTAAGCCACCACATATGGCCCAAGTCATTCATATTCTTAATTATAAAATGAGATCCAGAGGAGCCCTGATATCCATGTCTTGCATTCAGACTTTACTACTCATGATTAGTAATCCACTTTTATCAAGAGTCCCACAAATGCTTAATTTAAATAAAGAGAGACAAGACATGAGTGAAAATGGTAAAGATTTCTGAAAATCCTCTCCACCATGAAAAACAAACAAACAAAAAACACTGGCACACTGGCAAACAATCACCAGCATCAGTTTTTTTCTTTTTTTTCTTGAGATGCAGTTTTGCTCTTGTCACCCAGGTTGGAGTGCAGCGGCGCTCACTGCAACCTCCGCCTCCTGGGTTCAAGTGATTCTCCTGCCTCAGTCTCCTGAGTAGCTGGGATTACAGGTGCCCGCCGCCATACCCAGCTAATTTTTTGTATTTTTAGTGGAGATGGGGTTTCACCATGTTGGCCAGGCTGGTCTCGAACTCCTGACCTCAGGTGATCTGCCAGCCTGGGACTCCCAAAGTGCTGGGATTACAGGCATGAGGCACTGCACCCAGCCTTTTTTTTTAAGACAGGGTCTTGCTTTGTCACTCAGGCTGGAGTGCAGTGGTGCAATCTTGGCTCACTGCAACCTCAGCCCCTCAGGCCCAAGTGATCCTTCCATCTCAGCCTCCCAAGTGCCTGGGACCACAGGCGCACACCACCACGTCCAGCTAATATTTTTATTTTTTGTAAAGACGGGGTTTTACCATCTTGCCCAGCCTGGTCTCAAATTCCTGGGCTCAAGCTATCCATCCGCCTTGGCATCCCAACGTGCTGAGATTACAAGCATGAGCACTGCACCCGGCAGTTTTTTCAATACAACAGAAATTAACCAAAGGCCTGCAGAAACTGGAGAGTGTATTCAAGAAAAACAGCTGAAACTCAGAACAGTGAGTTCTGTGGTGCTTTAAACTCCCCTAATTCCAATCTGCCCCTCCTATCACCCCCTGAAAGCCTCATTCCCAGAGAACTGTCATTAGCTGACCTGTTCAGAGGTCACACTCGCAAGGCTGTCTTTATTTGACCTGACCAAGAGCTCATCCAGTGCAAACAGCCTTTTCTCCAGAAGCAATTGTCAAAAACATTAAGGATAACAGTTTAGGCAAACAAGAGACTAACTAAAAACCTTATAAGGAAGAGCTGGAGAATGAGATGTTCGTGGAGAACTCTGACAGCTTGACATATTCCTGGATGGGATCTAGGAGGCCACAGTGCATGTGTGGGCTGTGCACAGGCTCAGAAAAGATCTAATAAAGCTCTTGTTTAGCATATCGTCAATTAATATAAAATGGACAACCTGCGGCCCTCAGGGTTGCTCTGTCTATGAAGTAGCCATTCTTTTATTCCTTCACTTTCTTAATAAACTTGCTTCCACTTTATGGACTCTCCTTGAATTCTTTCTTGTGTGAGATCCAAGAACCATCTCTTGGGGTCTGGATCAGGACCCCTTTCCCGTACAGTATTGCAGCTCAAAACAAAACAAAAAATATCCCCGACACAAAAAATTCCCGACCATGTGGCTTCACTGGTGACTTGTACCAAATGTTTAAAGAACTAGTTAATCCTTTACAAACTCTTTCAAAATATAAAAGGAAAACTTCAAGTCATGAGGCCAGTATTACCCTGATACCAAAACCAAACACAAAGATACCAGAAGAAAATAAAACTACAGACCAAATTTAAATTAAGATCTTTTGCTTGTTAAATTTGTAACTCAGTGATAAGCATTTTTAAAAGCACTCCCAAATGGCTGATGGAGACTCAGATGCTCAGGTGATGCCAAAAACAAACAAACAAAAAAACCAAAAAAAAAAAAAAAAACCCAAACCAAAAACAAACAAACAAAAAACAATTCCACCCAATGTGTAGTTCATCCAGATGGGCCTGGCAATGTTAAGCAATTTTTCCTTTAACTCCCCTGACTTCCTCCGCCTTTGATGAAGTCTGAAAAGTTATTCCACAGCAAAGGAAATGCTTCAAACTCTATAGTCACATCCTCAAAAAGTTTATCTCCGATGACCCAAACAAAACACATACACAGCCTTTTCAATTATTTACACTTTATCTATTTGTGACTTGATAAACATAGTGTTTTTTATCCACTGTGGCTATCAGGAATAATGCTACTATGAAGATAAAGTTGTTCAAAGTAATTGTAATACAAACTCATCTTTTAAAATGTTTGTATTACCTGCTACCTAGTTTGCTGAGGACATTGACATGGTTTATGCCTCTTTTTACGCTGCTGCTATCTAGGAAGTTGCCTTGTATGTAGTAGGCCCTCAAATAATTGTTGATTAAAGCATAATTAACATCTATTTTCTAACTGTGATCTCCTTTTCAGTGCTTACTAAGTAACAACAACTGGATAGAACCATAGCCTTCAGAAGATTCTTGAAGTGAGGCAGCAAGTGGAAGTGCTAAAAGAAATTTTTAATTCTGAGTAGCCAGAGGTATAAAAACAGACCAAGGTTTTAGTGTACTGGAGCTTTTTGCACATGACACTCATGTGGGCTCTGTAAGTTTGGGTGAAGGGTAGAGGAGTGGGTAATTTTGTATGTTGGTAATATTATGATGTTGACCGATCTCCTTTGATTACATTGCCATGGCAGTAGTTGACATTACCATGTCCTAATCATGTAAATGTAGTATCTGATAGATACCACCAGGTTTCATTTAAGAGACATTATTATGCAGAATGTCACTTGATGCTGTGGAGAGGGTTGAATCACAACTGCTATTTCATAGCCAGGAAATTGAGATCAACTGATTTTACTTACACGGGTAAGAAGCAGTTGGCTCTAGGGAAGCTAGAAATGGAAGTCTCTGTCTTTGATCATTTTATTGGATTAGTGTTTCCGAAACTTGGCTGGTCATCAGAACAATGAAAAAGTCATTTTTAAAATACAGATTCCTAAGCTTAAAGTCTAATTCTACTGATTAAGAATCTCTAATGTGTCAGGCTGCAATGATTCTATGTATGCCAGTGGTAGCAATGTTTGTTTTTGCTGCTAGGAAATTCCAAAAGGAGCCTTATATCTGACTGTCAGAGGAGTGGGGTTTTGGAGAATAAGCTAGGTCGGCTTCCATATCTAAAAAGGGAAGTAGATTGAAGATATACCTTGTATAGCTGTCACTCATGCTGTCTATCAAATAACGAATAGATAAAGCACAAATAATTCATATGTCATCAACTCATGAATGGATAAATGTGGTAAAGTGGAAATAATCCATATGTCATCAACTCATGAGTAAATAAAATGTGGTACAGCCATACAATGGAATACTATTCAGCAACAAAAAGAAATGAAGTGCTGCTGCTACAACTTGGATAAACTAAGCTAAAAGAAGCCAATCACAAAGGACTATTCATTGTGTAATACCATTTATATGAAATGTTCAGAATAGACAAACCCATAGACACTGGGGCAGATTAAGGGAAAATGAGTGACTACTAATGGGTACAGAGTTTCTCTTGGGGTGATAAAATGTTCAAAAATTGACTGTGGTGATGACTGCACAATTCTATCAACATTAGACTAAAAGTCCACTTACACTGAATTGTCTGATACGTGAATTATGTTTCAATTAAGTCGTCATAAAAAAAACTTCATGACATTATTAAAGCTTCATATATGTATTCCCTATGGCCATAACTCCTCTCCAAAATGTATACCTAACAGAAATGCATATATATGTGTGTGTGTGTATATATACATATATATATAAACCAAAATTAAAATATTCATAGAAGCAGTATTTACAGGCCATGGGCGGTGGCTCACGTCTGTAATTCCCAACATTTTGAGAGACTGAGGCAGGCAGATCACTTGAGGTCAGGAGTTCGAGACCAAACTGGCCAACATGGTGAAAATCCATCTCTACTAAAAATACACACACACACGAAAATTTAGGCGGGCATGGTGGCTCTTGCCTGTAATCCTAGGTACTGGGAGGCTGAGGCAGGAGAATCATGTGAACCTGGGAGGCAGAAGTTGCAGTGAGCTGAGATTGCGCTACTGTACTCTAGCCTGGGTGACACAGCAAGACTCTATCTCAAAAAAAAAAAAAAAAAAAAAAAGAAGCCCTATTTACAACTGTCTGAAAAAAACAAACAAAACAACAACAAGAAACTTCACTAATAATTTATAATCACACAATGAAATAGTACACAACAATGAGAATGAACAAAGGATGGCTCCATGCAACCACATGGATGCATGTCACGAACATTATGTAGGGTAACAGAAGCCAGACACAAAAGAGCCCACTTAAATCAGCTCAAAAGTGGACAGAAATGAATTGTGGTGTTACTAATAGAAATCAGAATAGTGGTTACCATCAAATGGAGGGTGGCTAAGGGTGGAAGGGGATATGAGGAAGGTCTCTGTGGAGCTGGTAATGGGTTCTACAATCTGAATGCCAAATACACAGGTGTGCCTCCTTTTGAAAATTTATGCAATTGCATACCCATCTATCTTGTTCATTTTTCTGGATCTCATATATATATATATATATATATATTTTTTTTTTTTTTTGAGACAGAGTCTTACTCTGTCCCCCAGACTGGAGTGCAGTGGCAAAATCTTGGCTCACTGCAACCTCTACCTCTCAGGCTCAAGTAATTCCTGTGCGTCAGCCTACCAAGCAACTGGAATTACAGGCATGCACCACTATGCCCAGCTAATTTTTGCATTTTTTTTTTTTTAGTAGAGATGAGGTTTCACCATGTTGGCCAGGCTGGTCTTGAACTCCTGGCCTCAAGTGATCTGCCCACCTTGGCCTCTCACAGTGCTGTGGGATTATAAGGCATGAGATACCGCGCCCAGCCCTGGATCTTATATTTCAATAAAGAATTTACTGAAAGAGACACAAAAGACTGTCAACAACAAACAAAAGAACAAAAACCCAAATGTGTAAAACAGCATGAGCTCCTGGAAGGTGGAGTTTATGTCTCTCACATTTTTGTGTCCCTCCAGTGCTTTCATTCTAAGGGTGCCCAGAAAGCATTCACGGAATGAATCAAGGAAGATATTCCTACCTCTATCTTTGTTCTAGGAGGGCTGAGGTGCTCTAAACAGAAAGAACAATTCCGATGCCACTCACCTGGGCTTTCTCTCTCTTCGCTCTAATCAGTGTGTCTTGGTAATGCTGGGCCACTTCTGCAAGGACTCCCTCAAGTTTAGCTGCAGGAATCTGTAGGGCCTGCAGAGTCTTTTGGGCATCACCTTCATCCAGGGCTTCATTAATTAAACCAATGGCTAAAATCCCTAAATATAAAGAGATAAAGTTTTTTTTTCAAATTAAGGAAGTATATAAACAAATCAATCATGAAACATACTAACTAATCATAACTAATCATAAATCCACCTAAGAGTAACCATGATTCAAATTGCAACTTACCATCCATTAAGCAGCACTGTTTTAATTTTTTAAATATTAGTGTTTGTTTCATCTAAACTTGCTTGTATTCATATTCCTATTGAACGCTCAAGTCATTTTGTTTCATTTTTAACTGCTCTAACTTAAGTGATGAGGATTTTTATGAAACTGGCCTTACTGTATAGCTTTCAGGTACACTGGAATGTGTAATCAAAAACATTCTTGAGTCACAAAGGATTCACAGAGTCTTAAAAAGGTTCAAGTGTCCTTAAAAAGTCACGTAATTTAACACTTTTATAGAAGAAATAATAAGGCTTAGCAATCTCTTCTCCAACATTACACAGCAAACAAATGGCAGAAGAAAGATCCAAGCCCAGGGCTCCCTAATGCAAGGCAAGGCTCTTCCCACTAAGTCAGTTGAATATTTCTCACAGGAAATACAAATTAAAATTAGAAATGTTCATTCCCCAGGTATCTTAGGCAGCCGTACTGCTTTTGTAAGGACTCTGCTGTATAATAAAAAGTTTGGCTGGTCTTTGTCTCTGGAGGAGCCTCTAAGAACCTTCGGATATCCTGAGTGATAGGTATGTTTCTGTTATTCATAGTGGGCCCCTCTGCCCGCACCTGAATTTAGGCCAACCAATGACTCCTGGTTGGCCTCTTGAGAGTTTAAGGATGGAGGCTAGCCATTGACTTTGAGGTTTAGAGTCATGTGATACCAGCCTGGCCTCCCAATCTCCAGGGAGCAGAGGCCAAATGAAAATTGAGTTTAATCGCAAAGCCAATACTATCAATCACGCACATGTAATGAAGCCCAAATAAAAACTCTGGACACCCAAAGTTCAGGTGAGTTTCCCTAGTTGGTGATACATATCAATGTGCCAGGAGAGTGACACATCCTGAGAACACAGAGGCTTCATATTGGGGACTCTCACAGATATTGCCTGATGATTCTCTTCTTTCAGCTGATCCTGATTTATATATTTTATAATAAAATTGTAATCATAAGTCTAGTATTTTCTTGAGTTCTGTGTCATTCTAGCAAATTATTAAACTAAGGGGATAGACAGCTCCCCCAAATTTGCAGCCAGTTGTTCAGAAGTACAGTGGCCTGGGAACTCTGCAGCTTTCAGCTGGTGTCTGAAGTGAGAGGAGTCTTGTGGAGGAACATGCCTACAACCTATGCAATTTCACCCGATTCCATGTAGTGTCAGAACTACTTGTTATAACAGCATTTAAAAATAACAGATCATGTTCAATTCACCTCCCCCAAAATTTAGTTCTTATTGGACATATACCTAATTATAGCAATTGCCTGGTGTTCTCAAAACAACATCCAACTCTAGCTTTTTGTGTTATATAGATATTTTTAATCTCTCACCCAAAAATCCTTCTAGGAATAGTATTTTGAACCACTTCATGGAATCACATCATCATTACTGGTGACATTATTTGGGGAGGACAGGAAGATAACTCACTCTCATGTTCCTCTTGCACCACCAGGTTCACATGGTCCACACAAGCTTGGATATCATTCCAGGTAATGAATTCATTATTCTCTGCATGTGCCTGAGCCTTCAGTTTCATTAACTCATCGAGATACCTGCCCCAGACCCCCAAGTAAAAAGATCATTAAGCATAGCATTTTTAAATATTCAAGGAACAAAGATTGCTAGGGTATCCTAACCATTTGATATATTCTCAAGGCCAGTTTTGGAACCGCATAGTTGCTTTAAACAAAGTGCAAAAATGCAGTAGAAATCACTTATTCTCAATATCCTGTCACATATTCTAAATTCCACATTAAGACTAACTCTAGAATCAAAGGCAGCAGTTCAAGCAATTCCTCCACAGACAAGAAAAAAAGGCTAGACATGAGCTAATAAATGCAGAAGGAATGACAGAGCAACAAATCATCATTGGCAACTTTTACTGAAGGTACTGATTTAGGAAAGATTATCAATTAGGTTAAAAAAAAAAATCACAGGAAAGGTTAAGGGAAAACTGGGTATTTTGATGGTGCAAAAGAGATGATGTTCTAGTGATGAGGGAAAAACATAAATATGCAATGGAAATGTAAGTGGTCTCCCTAATCCAGGGATCAATCTTAGTATCTCTAATGGTGGAAAACGTGGGTTTTATATGCCTATTGATATGAGGCAATATGAAATACACATCACCAAAAATGTTGAACTGAATCATGACAAACATATAGATTTAATTTCTAATTTACAGGAATAAGGCAGATATGAGAAAGCAACTAGAACTATCCATAAAATAGGACGTCTTACATGGCAATTGGTCCCATCCTTTTAACAAGTCAGTGTCATGAAGAAAGAGACAATTCTAGATTAAAAGATACCCAACGGACACAACAGCCAGATATAATACATGTTCCTAGGCTGGATCCTGTTTTCAACAAAACAGTTATAAAGGACAGTTTGAGAACAACTGAAGAAGAATGAAAATGAACTAGCTAGGGTTAGATGATATTTAAAAGTATTATTTAACTTTGTCAGAGATAGTGTTATTTTGACTATGTAACATATTTCAATAAGCCTACTTACATATTTAGGAACGGAATGTCCTATTTTTCAGCATAACAAAGAATTAAATGAATCAAAGTAGAACCAAACAAAAGTATGACCATGATAAAGTAATAATGCCTGCAAAGAAAATCGGAGCACTGACATACAAAAGACAGAGTTAACAGCTACGTAATGGATTCACTCACTTCACTCTGGACACCCACCTCTGACAGTTTTCTTCCTCAATATTGGTAAGGCCCGTAACTGAACTGCTCAACTGCTTCCACACTGTATTCACATCTCCTGATTCCAATGCCCTGTTGATCAGGGCCACCGACGACAACATTTCCACTGCAACAGAGAGCTCTGGGTGGGTGAGATTATGCTGTACAGAAAGGGACAGAAGGGAAAACAGTGAGGAAAGACATTCTCCAAGACCCAGGGAGTTATAAGTTTAACAAAACCAAAAGAAAACCAAGTTTATGCAAAAAAAGTTCTACCTAACCACAAGAAGTGGGTATTACATTCACTTCCACCCAACTTTGCTCACAAACAGGACAGGTTTAGTGAACTCACTTCAGGACTCTGTCGCTGCAGGGTAGCCAGCTCCTTCTGATAGAGATCGGCGGCAAATGGATACACCTGGGGCAGCTGGGCTTCGGGATTCATCAGTTCCAAAACAGTCTTCTCAGCAACACCCTTCTGGATTGCAGCATTAATCACTGCTACCGCTGCCAATCCTGTGTAGAAAACAGGAGTCAGAAATGCAGTGGGCTTAGAGAGCCCTCAGGGGAAGAAGGTGCCAAACTTCACGGAAAAAAATTACATTCTGTGGCTATCAACCATCAAGTTTGAAGTGGAACTTGCATCTTAAAAAAGCAGTCTCCTCTGTAGGAAGAAGGGCGAACTGTACGTTATGTGAACCATATCTCAATAAAGATGTTTTCTTCAAAAAGCAGCCTCCTACCTGTTCTCCTCATCCCTATTTTCTTCCTATTCAATTCATCCTATATCTACCACTACTTCCCACCTAAACCATCTCTTCCTTCTCCTACTTACTGCCTGGCTTCTTAAGCTACCGTCAAAGCTTTCTACAATGTTTCCACCCTTTGATCTTACACAACTCAGCCCAAAACATTTACAAAATTTGTATTCTAACCACCATTCCTTAAAGATGTCTTTCAACAACTGTACTTTGGCTCCCGCCTCCTTTTTCCCTCATTGTCCTGCACTAGGAACGTTTTCTCTCCTCTTTCACCATCCAAATCTTAGCAAACCCTTAAGTCTCACCTTCTCCAGATATTTCCCTAACAAACCATGAAGTGTGTGAGAGCCAAAGTGAGCCTACATTGACTCCAGTTCTACTTCCAAAACTGGAGTAACTTGGCCAGGTGTGGTGGCTCATGCCTGTAATCCCGGCACTTTGGGAGGCCAAGGCAGGTGGATCACGAGGTCAGGAGATCGAGACCATCCTGGTCAACATGGTGAAACCCCATCTCTACTAAAAATATAAAAATTAGGTGGGTATGGTGGCACGTGACTGTAATCCCAGCTCCTCGGGAGGCTGAGGCAGGAGAATCGCTTGAACCAGGGAGTCGGAGGTTGCAGTGAGCTGAAATCGCGCCACCGCACTCCAGCCTGGCAACAGAGTCTCAACAACAACAACAAAAAGGCACACAGACCAATGGAACACTAGAGAGAACTCAGAAATAAAGTCACACATTTACAGTCATGAGGAGAACATTTTTTGACAAAGGCACCAAGAACACACATTAGGGAAAAGACAGTGCTATGGTTTGGATTCGGTTTGTTTGTCCCTACCAAATCTCATGTTGAAATTTGATCCCTGACATCACCCTGAGGGTATGAAAAAAAAGAAAAGAAGAAGAAACTTGATCCCCAGTGTGGTGGTGGGAGGCAGTGCCTAGTGGGAGCTGTGTGGGTCATGGGAGCAAATGTCTCATCAATGGCTTCGTGCCATTCTCGTGGTAGTGAGCTCTTGCAAGATTGGATTGGTTCTTGGGGAGAATGGATTCGTTCTCATGAGAATGGGCTGTTATAAAGCCAGGACCCCTACTCACTACCCCAGGGGATCGGTCCCTCCTCACATGAGTCCATTTGCCCTTTGATCTTCTCCTTCATGTTTTGATGCAACACAAAAGCCCTCACCAGAAGCCGAGCAGATACTGGTGCCTTGCTTCTTGTACAGCCTGCAGAGCTGTGAGCTAATAAATTACCCTGCCTCAAGTATTCCTTTATAGCAACATAAAATGAGCTGAGACAGACAGTCTCTTCAATAAATGGTGTTGAGAAAACTGGATAACCATATGTAGAAGAATAAAGCTAGATCCCTATCTCTCATCATATACAAAAATAAATCAAAATAGATTAAAGACTTAAATCTAAGACCTGAAACTATGAAACAACTGGAAGAAAACATTGGGGAAATGCTTCAGGACACTGGTCTGAGCAAAGCCTTTTAGCTAAGACCTTAAAAGCATAAGGAATGAAAGCAAAAACAGACAAATGGGACTATGTCAAGCTAAAAAGCTTCTGCAAAGCAAAGGAAACCAACAACAAAGTGAAGAGACAACATACAGAACGGGAGAAAATATTTGCAAATGATCCATCTGAAAAGACAACAATAACCAGAACACATAAATTCAAACAGCAGCAAACAAAAACAAAAACAAAAACAAAACCCACAAATAATCCAATTTTTACATGGCCAAATAAGCTGAATAGACTTTTATCAAAAGAAGACACACAAATGGCCAAAAGGTATATGAAAAAATGCTCAACATCATTAATCATCAGGGAAATACACATCAAAACCACAATGAGACACCTTCTCACTCCAATTAAAATGGCTTTTATCAAAGACAAAATATAACAAATGCTGGCAAGGCTGCAGAGAAAGGGCTCATACACTGTTGATGGGAATGTAAATTCACTATAGCCACCATGGAAAACAGTACGGAGAGTCCTCAAAAAATTAAAATAAAACTACATATGATTCAGCAATCCCACTGCTAGGTATATGGCCAAAAGAAAGGAAATCAGCACTCCCATGTTTATTGCAGCTGTATTCACAATAGCCAAAATATGAAATCAACCTAAGTGTCCATCAATGAATAAATGGTTAAAAAAAAAAAAAAAAAAAAAGGTAGTATATACACATGATGGAATATTATTCAGCCATAAAAACTGAAGGTCATTATGTTAAGTGAAATAAGCCAGACACAGAAAGGCAAATACCTCCTGATCTCACTCATATATGGGAGCTAAAAAAGTGGATCTCATGGAGGTAAAGTTGACTGGTGGTTCCCAGAAGCTGGGAAGGGTAGTGGGGAGGAGGAGATAGAGAGGTTGGCTAATGGGTACAAAATTACCATTAGATACAAGAAGTAGGTCTAGTGTTAGATAGCACAGTAGGATGACAACAGTTAACAATAATGTATAGTTCAAAATAGACAGAAGAATTGGAATGTTTCCAACATCAACAAAAGATAAATGTATTAGGTGACAGATATTCCAATTACCCTGATTTGATCATTACACATTGTATGCATGTATCAAAATATCATACGTCAGTGCTTCTTGGTTGGTTTAAAAAACAAAACAAAACACATGTACCCTCAAAATATGTACAACTATTACATAGCAATTAAAACCACAACAACAACAACAAACTGGAGGAACCCTCCTGCCACCAAAAGTACCTGGCAGTTGGTTACGGCTGGTAGGCTCAGGTGGGGGATGAGAGTGACAGAAGCTAACCTCAGACCCTTTAGTAACACAAAGCCACAACTTTCCTCCCATACTGTTTCAATGGACTCTTACTTCTCTGATATTGCTGGGCAGCACTGTTTGCAGCATCCACTCCAGACTGCAGCTCCTCCTTCTGCAGGGGGTCAGTCTGACCACTCTGATAAAAGCAAAGAAAATTATGTAAAGATTATTCATTCCTATGACTCCAGGTCTTAAGGTTCTCATCTCTCAAAAGCAGTCACTAGGGACAGAGAGCCATAGTCATAAGTGACAGCTCAGGCTACACGTAGCCAAGGTGGCCGCCCCAGCTAGAGCCAAATGCCTTTGCCAAAGCTGGGGTAGAGTGACTTTACAGATACCAGTACATTCTTAAACATATTACATGAAAAGCCTCAAAACATTCTTTTTTTTTTTTTTTTTTTTTTGAGACGGAGTCTCGCTCTGTCCCCCAGGCTGGAGTGCAGTGGCCAGATCTCAGCTCACTGCAAGCTCCACCTCCCGGGTTCACGCCATTCTCCTGCCTCAGCCTCCTGAGTAGTTGGGACTACAGGCGCCCGCCACCGCGCCCGGCTAGTTTTCTGTATTTTTTAGTAGAGACGGGGTTTCACCGTGTTAGCCAGGATGGTCTCGATCTCCTGACCTCGTGATCCGCCCGTCTCGGCCTCCCAAAGTGCTGGGATTACAGGCTTGAGCCACCGCGCCCGGCCAAGCCTCAAAACATTCTAAGGGGAAAGTGTTCGTAGAATCTTAAGCACGTTAATGCTACTTACTTTGACCAATGTACGCTGGGTATTGGTAAAATGTATACTTGCCCTTATTTAGACAAAAAAGAAAGTCCCTCATGTTTGTTCTAAAAAAAAAAAACCCCACAAAATACAATACCACACCATCTACCCTGACTGCACAGTAAGTACCTTTCCAGTGTTGACTAGAGCAAACTAATGGGGTGCAGTTTTTTTTTAAGTGCAAATTCTGATGTAAGAATGCAAAAATATTCAGGTTTTCCCCAATGTCTTTTAGTTGGAGAGAGAGAGACAGCTGAAGTGAAGGAGTGGTTAGACTGGGGATGGGTGGATACTGTCTATTTTAAAAGAGGATTCATAGCTCTAAAAGCAAAAGTGAGTTGAAGACAATGTGTATTTTACCTGAGGATTTTTTTAAACTAACTTATATGCAGAGGAAAAAGTTGTATTGTGGGAAAAAAAAAGGCAGCATATATATCTTTAAATGACAGCATGAGATTCAAATGGATATATACAAACTCTTGCAGCTTCAATCCAGACTGTTTACCTGTCTCTTCTGCTGTTTATCACTCAGGAGCTGCTTCAAGTACCAGTCACTATTCTGTTGCTGCAGTCCTCGAAGACCCAGGGCTGGTGACTGTAGAGCCTTGAACAAGGCCAGTGCATCTCCTTGTTCTAAAGCCAGGTCGATGTTTGCTAATGCAGAAAATGCTGAGGAAAAAAGGCAAAAGCTTATGAAAGGACTATGTGAACAGAACAGCCTAGAATAGTTTTCCTTCCCCAAAACCAATCTCAGTTCCAGATACGGAAATATAACTCAGAGAGCCTTTACTCTGTGGTTCTCAGAAGCATAAGATCTTCGGATTGGAAAAGAACCTTAGAGTCATCAAGTCCTGGGGTTCCCAACAAGCTGTTCGTCGGATTTCATACAGATTCCTGGGCCACACTCCCAGCCCACTTAAAAACTTCCAAATGTAGACAGCTCAGCACCAATATGGAGCCAACAATCCAGACCAACATGATGCTTAAATTCCCTTAAAATGCCAAGTAGCTGTCCAGATTATACTTACAGACCGCCAAACAGGAGAAAGTATCTCCCATGGCCATTTACTATACCGTTGGACAATTTTGTTTCAAAAATATTTTTAAAGCTTCAACCCTAAAGTTCACACTGAATACATTCCACTGCCCCCCCATGACAGCAAATGCCTTACGAGCAGCCTTATTTTCTTTAACTATGTCTTACATACCATCAGTTTGAATCCTCTCATTACCCTGATACTTCCTGCACACACTCCACCCACAACAGTCAGTGCCCAGATATCAAGGGTGATCCAACCTGTGCAGAGTGAAAGGGGCCATCTTCCCCCTCTCTACATTCTCTCTTCTAATCATAGAATCTGAGGTCACACAAGCTCTATAATACAATACATGACAATGAAAACCCAGATGCTCCTTCATCTGAAAATGATAATGAAGATAACTTCCCTCATAGGAATAGGTTTAAGATTAAATAAAATCATATACATAGAAGCACTTCATATACTGTAAAAAAACAAACAAACAAAAAACAAAACAAAACCAAAAAGGTCTTCTTAGCCTGAAAGACAGAATAAGGTAATTTCTGATTTCAAAAACGACAGCCACTAAGGAATCATAATTAGTTTATTACTTTCCATTCTTTCCATTTCCTTATTCTTTGAAGAGAAAATGCCTGTCCCTACCACCACTCACAGATAAACATCTGATTTTATCCAAGTAGCAAAAAGAAATCAATAAAATACCAAAAATAAAAATATCTGGGGAATAGTAGTACTTATCAATTGCAAATGTTTTCATTAGTAAAAAACAAAATAAAATTAATAAGCTGTTACAAAGAAAATCAAAACAGCCCAAGGGAAAATAAAGTCTCAAACTAGAAAATGGGAAGTAGGGGCAATGAGGAGACTAGAACTACTAAAAAAAAAGGGGGGGGAAGGGAAGAAAAGGTTAAAACATTGGTATGGATGTGAGGTCTCACTGTAGGCTCCTAAGATACTGTTTATTTCTTCCTAGTATTTATACCCGTCATTCAACTGGGCACCAAACCAAGGTGGTGGCTTCTCAAGTCATGTCTGCAGGTCTACGTGGCTATTAGCCAACTAATTATCCATTCCTTCAATGATATTTACTGAGGATCTGCTATATGCTGCAAACATAATAGTGAAAAAACCAAATATCCTTATCCTCATGGAGCTTTCATAATAGCTAGAGACAGAAAATATAATCAATGTAGATAACAAACTAGACTTTCTCTAGGTATATAGCATAGAATCTTACAGTATCTCTCTACAAAAGCACCTAGTAAATTTTGCTTTTTCTAGAAGTGTATACATACTACTCAAATATGTAAATATTAAATGAATATCTATAAACATTTCTGTTGCAAAGATAATAAAGTATGGAACATTACTTAAATACTTCCTCTCACTGAACTTTAGTTATATAACTCTAATTTTCCATATTCTACTTAACAAAAAATAAAAACTTTTTCTAATTTTTAACTGTTTGGCCTGTAGCTTTTTCCCGGGGCAGCATCAATGGCGTCATTGCTGTTTCGAATGCCCTAGGCAAAGAATCTCATCTATAATTACATTAATTCCTGGAACCTGAAGTCCCTATACCCTCCTGGCATCTAACTTTCCTTTGCCTCAGACTTTCTCTACAATTAGGAAAAGACTGTCCTTTCATAGGGAATTCTGCCTTATCCTCACCCTCTTATCTATCCTAAGGATCCCTGTGAAGATCCATGTACGCTGAAAACCTACTCAAACTTCTAGACAGAAATCATCATTCCCTTCTTTATTCTATGACTACACTGCATGCACTCTTGGCACCTTGCTCTAATCAAGCTGCCCTAAAAGTACTCATTTGCATGTCTATCCTCCTGACTATACTGAAAGGTATTTGAGGGAATTTTTATTATTTTGCTCCTCTGACTACATAATAATAATATGAATAGGACATTTTAAGAACATATACATATTGTTATTTCCTTACATGTGCTCACCACTGATTCTTACATAATTAGCAAGGTAAAATTACAAAGGTTATAAAATACCAAACAGTAAGGTAGAGAAAAATCCCTTAGTAAAACAAAAAATATTTTATGTACTCTATGCAACAGGAAACATGCTGGACTTTCTTCTCACAGAGAACCAACCATAAGGACACTCCAGTTTATATTTGCTGACTTAAGAATTAATACAGATTCAGCACAAGATACCATCCACATTTGAATGGATTATTCTGCTCGGAAGGTCATTATCCTAAATGAACCCAAAGGCAGCAGAATACAAACAATGCTGGTCCATCTACTTGGGAGGCTGAGGCAGGAGAATCTCTTGAACCTGGGAGGCAGAGATTGCAGTGAGCCGAGATTGCGCCACTGCGCTCCAGCCTGGATTCTGTTTCAAAAAACAAAAAATAAAAAATAACCCAAAAGGCCGGGCGCGGTGGCTCAAGCCTGTAATCCCAGCACTTTGGGAGGCCGAGATGGGCGGATCACGAGGTCAGGAGATCGAGACCATCCTGGCTAACACGGTGAAACCCCGTCTCTACTAAGAAATACAAAAAATAGCCGGGCGAGGTGGCAGCGCCTGTAGTCCCAGCTACTCGGGAGGCTGAGGCCGGAGAATGGCGTGAACCCGGGAGGCGGAGCTTGCAGTGAGCTGAGATCCGGCCACTGCACTCCAGCCTGGGCTACAGAGCGAGACTCCGTCTCAAAAAAAAAAAAAAAACCCAAAAAACAAGAATGCTGGTCAGGACTTAGAACTCCAATCCTACGGAATTGGTAAAATCTTCTCTACTTATTAGTTCAAATGAGAAATTTGGTCCTCCAAATGAACAATTACTATTATTATTATTATGAGTATCTTGAGCAAAACAAGATTAAGCCTGGCCTAGCTGGTTGAAATCAAACCTTTTAGTTTTTTTAGTGAGTCTAAACCTATGATAGGAATTAGGAGCACTTCAAAAGAAGTAGAATATATAATCTCTACTTTAAGGAGTTTACAAAGACGTCAGAAGAACAAGCAACACAAGACAATACATAATTAAGTACAAATTTATAGGGATGAGCCTGTGTATGACACAGGAGATTTGAAAGCCAAGCATATTGAACTGTGATAGGCACCGAAGTGAAAATTGAACTGGATCTTGAATGATGGGTACAATTTGGATTAGGAAGAGATGAGGCATGAGGGCATTACAGTAGAGAGATTACATGACTAACAAAGTGATAATACTAATGTTCACTGAGTACTTACTAAATAGCTGGCCATTTACATACACTATCTCATATTATCTGCATAACAACTCTACTGCAGGTGCCCAATGTTACACAGCTTTTAACAGAGGAATAAGAGATCAAATACCAGGTCAGTACCACTTCACAGCCAGATTCTTTTTTTAAGAAAATTTAATTAATTAATTTTTTGAGACAGGGTCTCACTCTGTTGCCCAGCCTACAATGCAGTGGTGCGAACACAGCTCACTGCAGCCTCAACCTCCTGGGCTCAAGCGATCCTCCTGCTTCAGCCCCCAAGTAGCTGGGACTACAGGCGCGTGTCACCATATCCAGCTAGTTTTTGTATTTTTTTTAAAGACGGGGTTTTGCCACATTGCCCAGGATGGTCTCAAACTCCTAAGCTCAGGCAATCCACCTGCCTTGGCCTTCCAAAATGTCGGAATTGCCCGGCCCTGATTCTTTTTAAGTCATAAAATGTACAGAATGAGTATGGGAGGTAATTAGGCAAATGAGCTTCTACTGAGAGCTGTACGCATGAAATATTGCATAAAGAACTTCACTAGGCTAGGCATCTGCATTTTGTCTGGCAAGTATGAAGAAGTCATGGTGAGTTCTTTAGCAGAGTAGCGACAAAATGATAATTTCAATAAATTAATTTCCCCAAAGTAACACACATATAAAAGTCAATATTAAAAGTATAATCTCAATTTTGTTTAAATATGTTTTGGAGGCTGGGCAAGGCAGCTCATGCCTGTAATCCCAGCACTTTGGGAGGCCAAGGTGGCAGGATCACTTGAGATCAGGATTTTGAGACCAACCTGGGCAACAGAGCGAGACTCTGTCTCTTCAAAAAAATTGTAAAAAGCAGCTGGGTGTGGCGGCGCATGACTGTAGTCCTAGTTACTAGGGAATGTGAAGCAGAAGGATGGCTTGGGCCCAGGAGTTTGAGGCTGCAGTAAACCATAATCGCAACTGCAGCCTAAGAAACAGAGTGTAACTCTGTCTCTTAAAGAAAAAAGAAAATTTTTAATATATATATATATACACACACACACACATACACACACACACGCAGACGCATTTTGAAGAACATACAAAAAAATGCCAGTAATGATTATTTCTAAGTGATGATTATTTCTAAGTGATGGAGTCTAATTTTTGTGGTTTATTGTTTAATATCTAGACAGTTTGCATTATTCTTTAAAGGAAAAACAAAACTATAATGTTACTTAAAAAAAATAAAAAAATAATTTTTTTTTTGAGACAGAGTCTCAGTGTTGTCCAGTCTGGAGTACAGTGACACCATCTCAGCTCACTGCAACCTGTGCCTCCCGGGTTCAAACGATTCTCCTGCCTCAGCCTCCCGAGTAGCTGGGACTACAGGCGCACGCCACCATGCCCGGCTAATTTTTGTATTTTCGGTAGGGATGGGGTTTCACCATATTGGCTAGGCTGGTCTCAAACTCCTGACCTCAGGTGATCCACCCACCTTGGCCTCCCAAAGTGCTGGGATTAATCAGCCACTGCGCCTGGCCAGGAAAATAATTTTTAAAAGCATGTAATAGGGTGAAAGAGTGAAACTATAGCCAAAAAGACTACTATGACGCTACTGTCAGTGTAGGAACAAGGGGCTGACTGAAGATTTAAAACGGAGGAATAGAAACACAAAAGATTGTTAATAAGCAATTGCTGCTAAACAAATCCACTAATGTCTAAAGTAAGTAAATTAAACCATGTTGTAAGTCCCAGAATAGATCAACATTCACATTATATTATAATATCCCTTTAAGTGCCTGACTCAGGAACATACTTACTATTGACTTTGTTTACATTGCCTTGAATTTCAGCTTGCGTGAGCAGCTCCTCATAAACATCTCTTTCTCTCTCTGAGTTTTCTGTCTGAGGATGAGTAAAAAACATAATTAAGTTAGCCTAAGGTGTCTAAGAGGACCACATAAATACACCTGTGCTCCTCCTGCACACTACTAAGAATATGGGTGTAGCTTAAGATCCTTTATAAAGAACAAAGCAGGCACAGTAACTCATGCCTGTAATCCCAGTGCTTTGGAAGGCCAAGGCGGGAAGATGGCTTGAGGCCAAGAGTTTGAGATCAGCCTGGGCAATATAGCGAGACCCCATCTCTACAAATTTTTTTTTTTAATTAGCCCAATGTGGTGGCACACGCCTGTAGTCCCAGCTACTCAGGAGGCTGTGACAGGAAGATTGCTCTGCCCAGAAGTTTAAGGCTGCAGTGAGTTATGACTGCACCACTGCATTCCAGTCTGGGCGACAGAGTGAGACTTTTTTTTTTTTGAGACAGAGTCTCGCTCTGTCACCTAGGCTGGAGTGCAATGGCACGATCTTGGCTCACTACAAACTCCACCTCCTGGATTCATGTGATTCTCTTGCTTCAGCCTCCCAAGTAGCTGAGACTACAGGCATGCACCATCAGGCCCAGCTAATTTTTTTGGTATTTTTAGTAAAGAAGGGGTTTCACCACATTAGCCAGGCTGGTCTCGAATTCCTAACCTCAAGTGATCAGCCTGCCTTGGCCTCCCAAAGTGCTGGGATTAGAGGCAGCACATCCTTGCCTCAGATCTGAGCAGAATGGGCACATACAGATCCACGATCCTGGAGTCTCACTGGTGACATACGCAGGGGCATGGCAGCAGCTACTTGCCTGCAGGCTAGTTTGGCACCTAACTGGGAAACTGAAATCCCTGCTCTACGATAAGAGATACAAAGAATGTTCTGAGAGCAGGGTTGTTTTCGTTTTGTCATCAACCACTAATTTTAACAAGGGGTGGATAAATTTGTGTGAAGCTTCTTTTTTTTTTTTCGAGACAGAGTCACGCTCTGTTTCCCAGCTGGTGTGATCTTGGCTTACTGCAGCCTCCACCTCCCAGGTTCAAGCGATTCTCCTGACTCAGCCTCCCAAGTAGCTGGGATTACAGGAGCCCACCACAACGCTGGGCCAATTTTTGGACTTTCAGTACAGATGGGATTTTGCCATATTGGCCAGGCTGGTCTCAAACTCCTGACTTCAGGTGTTCCGCCTACCTTGGCGTCCCAAAGTGCTGGGAGTACAGGCATTAGCCACCATGACCAGCCTGTGTGAAGTCTTAAATGGGATTCCTAGATTCAGTTTTTCCAAGTCAGAATCATTTAACGAACTTCTACATACCCCTAACAATTGTACACAAACATTTTACCCCAAAGAATCTGGGAAAGAGAAAAGACTATGTTAATATTTAGAGATAATCTTTCCAAAGGGCACTACTAATTTTAATGGCTACACTCCAGAATTTTATTTACATAAAATTCAAGAAGTAGAGGTCAATATGGAGTCTCACACCAAAAGATTAGACACTGCATCATTCCATTTTTAAAAAAGGTAAATGGCAGCAATAGAAAACAGACTGGTAGTTGCCTGGGCTCAGGGGTGTGGGTGAGGTAGAAACTGACTGCGAAAGTACACTAAGGAACTTTCTGGGGTGATGGTTAAATGATCACATATATTTGTCAAAACTCAAACTGTACATTTAAAATTCGGTGAATTTTGCTGTGTGTAAATTGCATCTCAATAAAATTGATGTTTAAACTGGAGCCATATCAAATGATGGAATAACAAATTAATTAGAAAGAATAGATGTTGCATTTTTACCCTGTTTTTAGCATTTGTCATTTTGTCCTGCTTAGCCTGGTAAAGTACATCCTGGTAAGTGGATGCCAAGGGCTCTTCAAGATTTACAAGCATGGCATTGGGATTTTTCAAAGCTGCAAATGTGTCGGCTGGAATTCTATGGTCAATAGCTTCATTAATAGCAATAACAGCAGCATGTACTAAAAAAACAAAAACAAAAACACTGAGATTATATAGATTAAAGGATGTATATCACAATAGAAAGCAACACTGCACCCCCCCATTAGAGACAGAGGCTCCTTTTCACAGAGAAATAACAACTGGAGTTCAAAGACTGGCTCCCTGGGCCCTATGAGCCTACCCTCTTCCTTACGGTATACAAAGCCACAGCTGCATCTGTGATCCATGTTTGGGATGATGAATTTGGAATCTCACAGAGAAATACTCATAAGAGAGCCTTGCAAGGAGCACTTGCTCTGGAGGTATTTGCCTTAATTACCGAGTAAACACCATAAAACAATAAGAAACTCAATGAGCCACGGAAATGTAGGACTTCCTTTCTTTTTTTCTTTTGTTTTTTTTGAGACAGAGTTTTGCTCTCTTGTTGCCCAGTCTGGAGTGCAATGGTGCCATCTCGGCTTACTGCAACCTCCGCCTCTTGGGTTCAAGTGATTCTCTTGCCTCAGCCTCCCAAGCAGCTGGGATTACAGGCACGCGCCACCACGCCTGGCTAATTTTTGTCTTTTTAGTAGAGATGGGGTTTCACCATGGCCAGGCTGGTCTTGAACTCCTGACCTCAGGTGATCCACCCGCCTTGGCCTCCCAGCTGCTAGGATTACAGGCGTGAGCCACTGTGTCCAGTCAGGACTTCTTTTCTAAATGTTTTCACTTTAATCAGAATTAATCATGTATTTCCAAATAACAACGGCATGGAAGACTGTGTTTACAACTACATCTATGGACTTAAACTTGCTAGCAAGATTCACAATGTCCTAGATCATCACTATAGAATTAATTATTGGAAATGGTGGCAACAATCTCAGTTGAACCCATGAGATTTCTCTCTTCTTACATGCGGCTTCATCCACTGACAGTTCATTAGCCAGGATGCCCCCAATCTTGCTAAATGCAGGCATTTGGATGCCATACTTCTCCAACTCAGTCTTCATGTTGTTGATTTCTTCTTCTACAGGAGGGAATTAATACTCAGTCAATCAAGCTAGGCACCTTTCCATAACCAAGAGAAGGAAACATATTCCTCAACTATGCAATGGGATTAAATGGCATTTACCTTTTAGGGTGTTATAAAGATATAAAGATAAAATGTATGGAAAGCACTTAACACAGTAACTGGCATATAAAATGCAGTCAAACATTATTATTATCAAGGGCATCAAACATAACTATAAAGTGAGCCGGTCCTACAGGAAATAGTTGTTCAGAATTGCTACTTGTGGCATTTCCTACAACGAACTTATAAATGGAACAGCTTTAATGTGAGCTCAACAATAAGTGAATCACAAACTAAGTCAGTTATCTCAGTCTTTACAATCCAAATCATTAGCTGCTATTCAACAATTTCATTTCTAAGGCAGAAAGCCAAATGATAAAGAAAACATGTAAGGTCTGGCCCTTTCCCCAGGTCTGGTGAATAACTTCCCTGGAAGGAAAAAATATCATGGACAAAAAATTTCTTACCAAGTTTTAAACTTTCAAGCCTACAAAACAATCACCACTTTGAAAGACTTGAATCTATCTTACCCTTAAACAATATTACCACTGCCCTTTTTCTCCCTAATCCCTCATCTCTTCAAGCATCTGGCTATAGCAAATACACATAGAAACACCCATCCAAATAAGCTTAAACTTTAAAATTACTAAATTGGCATCTTTGTGTCATCTCACTCCCCACTCTCCCTCTTGCTTTGCCCACAACAGATGCTTACTGGAATGGAAAGGCAAAGATAGTTATAAAGCTTTTTTCAACATACCCAAACATTTAATGTTATGTGTTAACATTATTATATGTTTTATATATGTTAATGTTATCCCCAATTTATATACAAGAAAACTGAGACTCACTAATCATGTTCACATTATAAGTGAGAGAACAGAGCTTGAAATTCCAAGTTTAGTGTTCTTTACCCCACATTAGAGAAGCAAGTTATTAATATTTCTTTCACCTCCACTGCCAGAGTATTTTTAAAGCCTTAGGTCTTTAAAATTGGTACTGCTGGCTCTCCAGGCTATTTCCACGTAATTCAAGCCATTTCCTGCCAAGTCTGTAACTCCTTACCTGTGAAGTCAACCTTTCCATATAGGTCTTGAATTTGAGGAGCCAGGCCTAGCTTGAACAGGTACAAACTAGAAGATACAATATGCAAAAGGTTAGGCCTCCCAGCAGTGCCTAGCTGCCACCCTTAAAAGGGGAAAATCAGCATGAAGAATAAAATAGAAGCATTCTGAACACTGAGACTCCCAGTAACTACAACAGTCTCCTTTGTAGTTACAATACTCTATTTACCTCAGAGTGTTTTGTTTTAGTTTAAATGACAGCATTGTCCTAAAAAGTCACATAACACAATGCAAAGAGCACTGGACTGGGAGAAATCAGTAGGCACAAATTCAAGTCCCGGTTCTGGCACAAAGTCAATGTACAATTAGATGTTAATGGCCAGGCACAATGGCTCATGCCTGTAATCCCAGCACTTTGGGAGGCTGAGGTGGGCAGATCACCTGAGGTCGGGAGCTTGAGACCAGCCTGGCCAACATGGCAAAACTCCGTCTCTACCAAAAATACAAAAATTAGCCAGGCGTGGTGGCATGTGCCTATAATCCCAGCTATTCAGGAGGCTGAGGCAGGAGAATCGCTTGAACCTGGGAGGCAAAGGCTGCAGTGAGTCAAGACTGCCACCACTGTACTCCAGCCTGGGCAACAGTGCGAGACTCCATCTCAAAAAAGAAAAAAAGATGTTAACATTAATGTTAATGTAATTAATAGTGAAGTGTCTCTTCATTTGTTTGCTTTCCTGTAATCAGTAAGTTTTAAATAATAAGACATCTTAGAAAAGCTCATAAAAATGATTCAGATGGCAAATCTTACTTAAACTGAATTCATATTACTGATGGAAAAGTTTAATCCAGGTAATTTAACAGTTTTAGATAAATAGTATTTCATATATTTTTACTTTTTAAGTATCAGGTTGGTAAAAATTATTTTTACTTTTTAAACTTAAAAAAAAATCACTTAGACTCTAAGCTTCACGCAAGTAGGGACAATACAGGGCTCATTCACTAATGTCTACCCAGAGCCTAGCATATATTAATAAATGTTAATCAATATTTGACAGATGAATGGACAGATAAATCAATGTCCATAAGCCTGTGTTAAGTGGATTCTAAAGCCCTAGCTGACTGGAACCAACAAATTAGAAGAGATCAGAAGGGTACTTCACAGATACTGACAAAAGCAAGAAATCGACAGTTTAAAGTAAGCAGGGAAATAAGAAATATATAAAAAATAAATCATAGAAACTTGAAGTGGTATACAGTTTTTGTAAATAATCTATAAACTCAGTATCATCTAAATACAAACATGCATCATGTACACTGCAATCACAGAACTGATCAAAATTTAAATTGTATATAATAAACCCAAATGTATAACAGAAAAACAAAAAAAAATCAAGTATTCTCAAAACACACTAGACTTTATGCATCCACAGAAGCTAATCATTTTCTCAGAGAAGTGCAAGTATAAGACGTATGTATATGATTAAATGCTTTTCTTTCAGGTAAAACACTCAAGATGGATATATAAAGCTCCTCTCTCAGAAGATTTTAAATGTATTCAAAAAATTCTCCAGACTGGGTGTAGCGGCTCACGCCTGTAATTCCAGTACTTTGAGAAGGAGAGGCAGGAGGATCGCTTGAGGTCAGGAATTCAAAACAGCTTGAGCAACATAGCAAGACCTTGTCTCTACAAAAAAAATTTTTTTAATTTGCCAGGTATGGTGGTGCATGCCTGTAGTCCTAGCTATTTGGGAGGCTAAGGCAGGAGGATAGCTTTCACCTTGGAGGTTGTTACAATGAGTCAAGATCACACCTCTGTGTTCCAGCCTAAGCAAAAGAGTAAGACCCTGCCTCTTTAAAAAAGAAATTCCAAAGTAAAATAACTAATAACTTTCTATACATGTAATATGTTCCCTTATATATTTTTCTCACTAATACATCACACCTGCATTCTTAATTGCGAGAATATTTTTCTCCAAGAATTTCTTTCTCATTTATTCCTACTTGGAAATAGGGAACAAGAAATTTTAAGAAAGTTCAAGAATGTTGCAGATATGGTTTGGGTCTGTGCCCCTGTCCAAATCTCATGTCAAATTGTAATCCCCAGGTGGGGGCCTGGTGAGAGGTGACTGGATCAATGGGGGCAGATTTCCCCCTTGCTGCTGTTCTCCTAACAGTGAGTGAGTTATCGCTAGATTTGGTTGTTTTAAAGTATGTAAGCACCTCCCCACCTCTCTCTTCCTCTTCTTCCTGCAATGTGAGATGTGACTGTTTCCTCTTTGTCTTCTGCCATGATTGTAAGTTTCCTAAGGTCTCTCCAGCCATGCTTCCCGTAGAAGCTGTGGAACCTTAAGCCAATTAAACTCTGTTCTTTATGAATTACCCAGTCTCAGGTATTTCTTTATGGCAGTACGAGAACGGACTAATACAGTTGCTTTCACAGTACCAAGAACACTAAATTAGCTTTTAATGTCTTTCAATGGTAAATTAAAGGTGCTACAACCATATCACTGGCTGACATAAAAAGTAGACATGGGCACCATCTTTCTTTTAACTCTCTTTAATTATTACAAGTATTTTATGGCGATACTGGAGCTATGAATGGATTCAAAATGGCCAGTTAAGTCCTCTTACCCACAATGAAAAGTACTTAGCTTCACACTGAAACTTATAAACCCTAATGGTGAACAGCACTTTCCCATCTTTGTTCCTGCTCTCCCATGCCTACTTCCACAAATACACTGTTAGGCACCTATAATGGGTCAGCCTGTAACTGCGCTTAAGATTTATTTTTCGGCCGGGCGCGGTGGCTCAAGCCTGTAATCCCAGCACTTGGGGAGGCCGAGACGGGTGGATCACGAGGTCAGGAGATCGAGACCATCCTGGCTAACACGGTGAAACCCCATCTCTACTTTAAAAAAATACAAAAGGCCGGGCGCGGTGGCTCAAGCCTGTAATCCCAGCACTTTGGGAGGCCGAGACGGGTGGATCACGAGGTCAGGAGATCGAGACCATCCTGGCGAACACAGTGAAACCCCGTCTCTACTAAAAAATACAAAAAACTAGCCGGGCGAGATGGCGGGCGCCTGTAATCCCAGTTACTTGGGAGGCTGAGGCAGGAGAATGGCGTAAACCCCGGAGGCGGAGCTTGCAGTGAGCTGAGATCCAGCCACTGCACTCCAGCCCGGGCGACAGAGCGAGACTCCGTCTCAAAAAAAAAAAAAAATACAAAAAACTAACCAGGCGAGGTGCCGGGCACCTGTAGTCCCAGCTACTCGGGAGGCTGAGGCAGGAGAATGGCATAAACCCGGAAGGTGGAGCTTGCAGTGAGCTGAGATCCGGCTACTGCACTCCAGCCTGGGTGACAGAGCGAGACTCTGTCTCAAAAAAAAAAAAAAAAAAAAAAGATTTATTTTTCTTATTTTCTACTTAAGCTGAACTTTGTAGCAATGGGCAGAAGGAAGCTGTGTTAACCTATCTGGATTCTAACTATCTTTTCTGTGAATGGTGAGTAACCTAGAAGTCACTATGTCAATCTCAAAATGATTAATAAAGACCCTGGAACACAGCAGGTGATTAGGAAACAGAATCTACTATAGGCCCACAGTCCCTTACCCAAATTCTTGGAGCCAGATATATTTTAATGTTGAATTTCTCAGATATTAGAAAGTGTATTTCTATTTACAGTGTATATAGTATTATAAAGTATCCCCAGCAAGCCCTGGGGCAGCATCCTCAATCCAATACATTACTTTCTGCAGAGAAACACACAAACATAATCTTACTAAGGAGACAAATGAGCTTACAACAAACTTAAAATCAATTTTCAGATAATTTAGGGTTTTAATTTAGGATAAGAGATTATGGACCTGTTTAACCCCAAAATCAGTTATTAGAATAACAAAACGGGGAAACAGGAAGTATACAAGTATTTTGAGAATGGAAAACTGGGGTCTTATCTAAGAGTGGAATGTTATCTACAAAAGTAATAGAGTATGATTAAAGCACAGTGACTATCTCTGGAATAATGCCAATCAAGACTTCAGAGGGGGGAAAAAAAAAACGGCAAGCAGGGAGGAGACAGACAGTTAGTACTTTTCTGTCACTGTTGATCCAAAGAAGATGGAGCCTTATCCAATACAGTGAGGTGAGGAACCTGCTTTGAACATGGTTGTGTTTTGTGGTAAAAGAAGAAACTCTCAGCAACTATAAATACTTCCTACATATTATCAAATGTTGCCAATCCACCCTTCAGGAAAAACACCATTAAAAAAAAAAAAAACCATAAATCACACAACACACCACTCTATATATACTTTCTAAGCACAGACTGCATATTCAAGAGAAATGGAAAACAATAGCAGACTTCCTTTCTTTCTCTTTCTGACTCTACCACTAGGAAGGCATAGTTAATTCTTTAGCCTCTACTACACAGAATTTGAGGGCCTGGAACCCAGGTTACACTGCAAGAGTAGTGGCTACACAACTAGCAGAGAGGAATTCTGCTTCCATGTTCAGATATCCATCGCAGGTACGGCCTTCACAAGATTATCAACATAGACAAATCTCATGCAACACTAAGTCAAACACAATACTCAGAATTAATGTGATCTGGACTCAGACACACATATTTGGTAATGTTTTGTTTTGTTTTTTAGAGACAGAGTCTTGCTCTGTCGCCCAGCCTGGAGTGCAGTAGCACAATCATAGCTCACTGCAGCCTCAAACTCCTGGGCTTACGTGATCCTCCCACCTCAGCCTCCAGGGTAGCTAGGACTGCAAGCGTATGCCACCATGCCCAGCTAATGTTTTGTTTCTTGTAGAAATGGGGTCTTGCTACGTTGCTCAGGTTGGTCTTTAACCCCTGGCTTCAAGCAAACATCTCGCTTTGGTCTCCCAAAGCACTGGGATTACAGGTGTGAGCCACTGTACCTACCCAGCCTCAGACACGTATCTGAAATTGCTACATTCTCAACACGAGATCCACTAGTTCTCAGCTATATTCATTCTTTTGTATGTTTCACACTGATTCCAATGATACCACAGATCTAGTACATGTTCGATCAAGAAACGAGACAACAGTCTTCTTATAGATCAGTATTATATACCTACTCCAATGTAATTAACACTTAGCAAGCACACATAGATGATGCTATGTAAGTGCAGCCCAAGCAAAAATCTGACTCATGTCCCACTTGCTCTGCCACCATCTCCTTTAGTCCTGTGGCCACCAAGTAAATCTGCTAAAATACTACACTACTGTACCACAGGTTGAGTATACCAAATCTAAAAATCCAAAATCCAAAATGTTCCAAAACCTAAAAATTTTTGAGCACCAACATGACCCTCAAAGGAAATGCTATAATTGGAGCATTCTGCATTTCAGATTTGGCATGCTCAACTGGTAAGTATAATGCAAATACTTCAAAATCCAAAACACTTCTGGTCCCAAGCATTTCAGATAAGGAACCTGTTCTGTATTTAACCTGTATAAGCATCTACTACTAACCATCCCACTATCCTTCCAGACTTGTATCTTTTCCTTCCAATTTAATTTAGGATTCTGGGGACCTCAAAATTAAGCCACATTCCAAATTTACCATGACATTATGGGAAAAAAATATATTTTGTATCATTTCCTACTATCATGTTTGTGTTGGTATAAAAAGTATTATTATTATTATTATTATTATTGGAGATGGAGTTTCGCTCTTGTTGCCCAGGCTGGAGTGCAATGGTGCAATCTTGGCTCACTGCAACCTCTGCCTCCCGGGTTCAAGCAATTCTCCTGCCTCAGCCTCCCGAGTAGCTGGGATTATAGGCACCCACCACCAATGCCCAGCTAATTTTTTGTATTTTTAGTAGACACGGGGTTTTGCTATGTTGTCCAGGCTGGTCTCGAACTCCTGACCTCAGGCGATCCACCCGCCTCGGACTCCCAAAGTGTTGGGATTACAGGCGTGAGCCACCGCACCTGGCTTGTAAAAATTATTGAATGAATGAACAAATGGCTTAACGATGGCAAGGACCTAGATAATTAAATAAGAGACTGCACTCCAAGTGAAGGCATAGTTCACAGAAACACTAGATCAATTATGGAAGATACCATGTTTTTAGAACAAAATTATCTGCTATTAAATAAATAAATCCTTTCTCGGTACTCCGTAGAAAAACACAGCTGTTTCTCACCATTTTGTTCGGATAACAGTATTTTATCCTATTTGGAACTTTTGAAACTAATGAAAAAACTTTTTCATTCTTACCTCAAGCATAAAAAACTACACACTCAATTCAGATGTTATTCATAATTTCCTTATTTTGCCAAGAAAATTTGATTACCTGAGTGCATGGATACAGTAGATACATCTTGGCATGTTCTTTCGATCATAGATATCCGTAGTTTCTGGGTAAAAAATCTAGGGAGAAATAAAAGAAATAGAGTAAGGTATCCATTCACTGTGTTCATTTGACATTCACCAATCATCAATAATACAAATCAAACAATGGACGGTTAGAAAACATCAGTGGCATTCAGTAAATAATTTCATTAGGGTGAATAGACATTTCATCATCAGAACTGCAAGGAATGAAATGCTGTAATACAGAAGAAAAAGTACTACTTGGAAAATCTTTATTTGGTCAACCCACTGAATTTCATTAGGTGTGAGAAGGTGATTTACTTATTTCAGACCCAGACACAGGCATATGAAGACCAAGTTCTAGTCCAGTTTAAATCACTGGACTGATCTGAGTATGAGGCTTTCAGAACCACAATGCTCCTAGTTACTATCTACCATGCCTAGATGGAGAAACAACTCAACAATGAACATTTACTAAGTGCTTTAGTTTGTGCAACCTGCTACACTTAGACATTGAAAAAACTATAAAATATTAAAATGTGTTTAATGCTTGGGAGAAATGGGAAACTACACAGATGAAGTAGCTAGAATAGAGCATGTATAAGGGAATTTGGAAGACAAGTACTTTTCCATGGTAGCACTTACCAAGATCAATCATTTGTGTTTATCTGTTTGGCTACTCCAACAGACTATAAGCCACATGAAGGCAGGGCTAGATCTATGTTATTTATTCACTGCCATATCTTTGATATCAAGCCCAGAGCCAGCGTCATGGAGCTCTAAAGTTAGTGAATGACGTAGGATAAGAACAGAATAGATTTAGACTGGGAATAGCCTTGAATTTCAAGACCTATTGTCACAGTCGTGTGGCACCATACAATTCAATCTGTAATTTAGGGAAATAAGGGGTGACAGTGGTTTGGATAAGCAAAAGACTGAATAATGAGGTGAGAAGAATTTGGATAAGCAATAAAGGCCTATATTAAGACTGTGAAATCATAAACTAAAGAAATGAGTGAATCATGATAGAGAGCAAAAGGCCTTCCAAACAAGAGAAATAGCCAGAATAAATAAAGCAGAAATAATTATGATGTGAGACAGTAAGGCAATATACCCTATTGTTTTTTAAAATCTACAGAATACATTCTAGAAAATAACAGAAAAATAAGGTTGGATAGGTAGGATAAAATCAGATGATTATGAGCAACTTAAAGTCAGACAAGTCTGAACTTGATAAGCAGGACATAAAGTGGCAGCCTAGCTTTGGAGCTAAGGATAAAAATAGAGCCCTGGGGAGATCTGACTGGAGACAGGACATAGCGTATGTTGAATAATGGGAGACGAGCTGGGGAGGTAGGCTGGGAGGCTGTTGTTAACAGTGGATGGATAAAAGAGGTATTTCAAATAAATGGAGTAGCGGGAATGACCACATTTAGAAGTTCAAAGTATCTCCAAGGTTTTGAGACTGGATGACTGGGAAAATGATGACATGGTACCATTTATTATAGAGGAAGGGAAGTTCAGTTGGGGGAAAGGTAGATTTAGTTTTAGATATGAAAAATTCTAGGTGACAGGAAGCTATCCAAGGAGAAATATCCAGCAGCCAACTGAAGATACTATGTTTATCTTATGTCAGCAAGTCTTGAGAATAAAGGAAACCATGAAAATGGGAAAATGTATCTAACAAGGATTGCATCTTAAAGAATGTCCATCACTAGAACACGGAAGGTAGAATAATTAAAGAAAACAGGAGGAGTTGAGCAGATTAAAAACAATTTAAAAAATCAAACTAAGAAATATCTCAGGGAAAAGGCAGCCAACAGTACCAATTATAATGAAGAGTCAAAAAGGATAAGAACCAAAAAATTACTGCATTAAGTTTCTATAACAGGCCAGCATGTACCACATAAAGAGATTAGAAAAGACATCCCGATAAACACCATATATGTACTGTCAATTACGTATTATACATTATATTAAGGACAACAATACATTTTTAGGTTATCATTAGTTCTTATTACTCAGAAGTCTTCTGGGCCTAAATGTAGGGTGGACAATTCAAGGTTTACAGCCATGATTATCAAGTTGTCCCTGAAAGCCTTTAATACATTCTATATTTGTTCCAATTGTAGTCCAGGACAATATACTACTGTTAGTAATCCAAAAAAGGTAATAAAATTACATCATTAAAAAAGCATCTCATAGTAACAATACTACTAGCAATAGAAAATATTAACAAAGCTCTTAGTACTATTCAAATGAGGTTAAATTGTCATTGCCCACTGGCAATATACTATATAAAAAACAGGTGCACAGTTTAATATTTTACACTATATATAGTACAGTATTTTATACTATATTTAAAAAAAAAAACAGGAAAAGGAAGTTACAGGTGCACAGACAGGCCACATAAATATAAGAACTTGACGTACTGCATTTCCTAACACTTGTGGGGCCTAATTCTCAAACATACCAGTGGCAAGGAAGAGAACTTCAGCACTTTCTCTGGAAAAAAGCTAGTCTTCTGCAAAGACTCGGCTCTGATTTAACTCAATTCAACAGGTATGTATGCAACAATACATATCTGTAGTATATTATATATATATCCATATACTATATATATACAACATATAATTATATATTGTAATAATATATATTAATATACATTATTAAAATATACTATATATAATATATAATTGTATATTATAACAATATATTGTATATGTAATATATATTTATACAATATACATATGTGTATACAATATTTATATATTGCACAAAATACAAAATATAAAATGGTTTTAGCCACCTTCTGATACTCTACATCTCACTTTTTAAAAATAAATTTTCCTTTGGTTACAAAAATTTGAACTCTACAGGAAAGTATAAGGAAAATAAAAACCACCCTTAATCCCATCACACAGAAATGAAAACTGTTTTATCTCCTTACAAATTTTTCCCAAGAACACTCACTTTATTTTCAGACAAAAATAGTGATCTGATCTTAGCTAGAACACAAACTCTTATAACCTTCAACTGTTTTTCCCCACTTAATACATCAAAGGCCCTTCATTTGGGTTGATATCCTTTTTAATGGCACTAGTATTTGGCTGTAACACAATTAATACCCCTTGTGAAGAAACATGTACTTTGCTATCAATTTTTTCTATCATAGTCAATGCTAAAAAATCCTTATATATACATGTTTTTGGTGCTTTCTGATTATTTATTTGGGATAACTTCCAAGAAGCAGAATTCTTAGGTCAAAGGATATAAATAGAAAGAAAAAAAACAGAGAACAAAAGAAAGAACGAAATCAATCAATCCATTCATGTCTCTAAGAGTGACAATACAGTGTGGCAATTACAGATTCAGGCAGGAGTGGGATGACAATTTCACTGAAAGCAACACTAAATAAACTCCTGAGCAAAACACCCAGAAGATGTACACTCCAATCAAAACTGCAGCCATGACCAAAAACAGACACAGGAAGTAACGTCATCACCCCTACAATTTAAAATATAAAACGACCCTTCATACTCCCTACAGATTTCTAAAACATTTCCTTATATTTCCAAAGGTCAAATTTTAATGCTAACAACTTTGTGAATAAATAAAAACCACTGATTTGGTATTCTTTAAAACGGTGAATCTCACAGCATGTGAATTCTATCCAAGGAAAAATAGTAAAATGTATGTCTACAATTTGATGTAGTAAAAGTAGATGTCATCACAGGGAATTTCTCTAGGGTAAGGTGAAACAGGTATGAGGATTACAAAAGAAAAAGAACAAAACTATTTCCTAAGTCAAAAAGAAAGACATCTTTCAGTATTTAAAAAAACACCAAAGATTCTGAGAATAATTTTACAGGTAGAATGAGAACAGGTTGTTTGGGGGTTATGCCAAAACAGCTGGAACAAAGCCTAAACTATTATCTCAGGTAAGTTACCTTAGGCAATCCAATCTCATCCATGGCATTCAACCACTGAATCACATTATCAGTGTGTCTAAAGTGGAGGCCAGTCGCCTAGAAGAAAAAAAAAAATTAGGTTCTGTTGGCTGTATTGAAGCAAATATTAAATAAAAACTCTCTTCGCAAAAGTTTCCTCATGAGATTTGACAAATTCTCTTTAATTTTGAGGTCATTATGCTCACATTCCAATACCAAAAAGCCAAATCCACATCTCAGTTCCTCTCACTTAGGAACCACCTGGAGAGCCTTCCTGTGTATAGCGTGCTCAACAGAACATGTGGTCTTTGGAGTTAAATTATCTTGGATTCAATTACTGGCTTAGCCACTTCATCCTTTAGGGACAGAGTTTTACCATCTAGAACAGCTGCTCTGTATGTATAAAGACTAAGTGAGATAATGCACATAAACCAATTACATTAGTATGGTATCTGAACACATAGAAGATATTCACAAAATGCTGTATAAAAATACCACGCTGGGACAGTGGCTCATTCCTGTAATTCCAGCACTTTGGGAGGCCAAGGTGGACGGATCACCTCAGGTCAGGAGTTTGAGATCAGCCTGGCCAACATGGTGAAACCCCATCTCTACTAAAAATACAAAAATTAGCTGGGTGTGGTGGCGCATGCCTGTAATCCCAGCTACTTGGGAGGCTGAGGCAGGAGAATCGCTTGAGCCTGGGAGGCAGAGGTTGCAGTGAGAGCCAAGATGGCGCCACTGCACTCCAGCCTCAGCAACAGAATGAGACTCCATCTCAAAAAATATCAATCAGGGCTTTCATTCTCTCTCTATATATAGATATCCCCTCTAGCCTTCAATGTCTGCTTTTTTTTGAAACAGGGCTCCACCCTCTTGCCCAGTCTGCAGTGCGGTGGCACAATCGGCTCACTGCAGCCTTACCTCCGCTCAAGTGATCTTCTCACCTTTGCCTCCTGAGTAGCTGGAACTACAGGTGCATGTCACCATGTCCATCTAATTTTTTTTCTATTTTTTGTAGAGCAGAGGTCTCACTTTGTTGCCCAGGCTGATCTCGAACTGCTAGACTCAAGTGAGGGCTCCCACCTCAGCCTCCCAAAGTGCTGGGATTACAGGCACAAGCCACTGCACCCAGCCATTTTTCTTAAATTGTTGCTGCAAAGTCTCCACTCTCCTTTTACACTATCTGCAAAGTCTCCACTCTCCTTTTACACTATCTTCCCATTCTGCCTATAGAATAGCTCCAGAGTTGTCTTCAGAATAACTGTGTATTCAAAACTGAGCATAGGGCTGGGCACAGTGGCTCGCTCATACTTGTAATCTTAGCACTTTGAGAGGCCAAGGTGGGAGGATAATTTAAGCCCAGGAGTTGGAGACCAGCCTGGGTAACATAGTGAGACCCCCATCTCTACACTAAAATTTGTGTAAATTAGCCTGGTGTAGTAGCATGCTCCCATAGTCCCAACTACTAGGGAGGCTGAGGTGGGAGGATTGCTTGAGCCCAAGGGAGGTCAAGGCTGCAGTGAGCCATGATGGCATTACTGCACTCTAGCCTGGGTGACACAGCAAGACCCTGTATCAAAACAAAAACCAATCAACCAACAACAAAAAAACCCACTGAACATATAAGTCTTTTTGACCAAGAAAAGTTTCTGTGTATGATGTTAATTTTGGCTGAGTACCTATACTTTCCCTTGTTTTCCCTTGAATTTAAACATAAAACATAAAAAATCTCTTTGACATTGCAGCCTTACTCATTCTGAGTTTGGGCCCAATTATTACAGCTGCCCACCCTTACATTTGGTCTTGGTAATGCAATTCTCCACTATCTTTCATAGTCATCCTTTTTCAAATAAGAGTCCACAGGTAAGCTCCCTACAGAGGCTTTAGACAATAAAATTTGGTCCTTGTCAACATCCCCATTTTTTTGGGGGGGGCAGTAGGGGAGACAGAGTCTTGCTCTGTTGCCCAGGCTGGAGTACAGTGGCATGATCTCAGCTCACCGTAACCTCCGCCTCCTGAGTTCAAGTGATTCTCCTGCCTCAGCCTCCTGAGTGGCTGGGATTGCAGATGTGCGCCACCAAGCCCGGCTAATTTTTATATTTTTAGTAGAGACAGGGTTTCACCAAGTTGGCCGGGTTTATCTTGAACTCCTGACCTCAAGTGTTCAGCCTGCCCCAGCCTCCCAAAGTGCTAGGATTACAGGCATGAACCACTGGGCCCGGCCCAACATCCCAACTTAATTAAGCAGTCGTCTTTTTTATAGCACCTTGAATCATATAGCACAGGAATCAAACCCTCTCACTTATCTCAATTTTCTGAAATTGAATCACTTTCCCATTGTACTTTGAACTCCAGTATCACAGGGTGATGTTTTTTCATGAAGTTACTTTTGCATTCAATTTGCCAACACATCTCAGTGCTTAAAATTCATTTCCTTTTTTTTTTTTAAGGAGACAGGTGGGAGTACAGTAGCGCAATATTAACTCCCTACAGCCTCAACCTCCTAGGCTCAAGCAATCCTCTTGCCTCAGTCTCCCAAGTAGACAGGACTACAGCATGTGCCACCATGTCTGGCTAATTTTATTTTATTTTTTTTTGTAAGACAGGGTCTCATTATATTGCCCAGGGTAGTCTCAAACTCCTGGTCTTCAGAGATCCTACCACCCTGGCCTTCTAAGTACTGAGATTACAGGTGAGAATCGGCGTGCCCAGCCTAAAACTAGGTTTTTTTTTTTTTAGACGGAGTCTTGCTTTGTTGTCCAGGCTGGAGTGCAGTGGCATGATCTTGGCTCACTGCAACCTCCGCTTCCCGGGTTCAAATGATTCTCCTGCCTCAGCCTCCTGAGTAGCTGAGATTACAGGCATGCACCACCACGCCCGGCTACTTTTTGTATTTTTAGTAGAGACGGGGTTTCGCCATGTTGGTCAGGCTGGTCTCAAACTCCTGACATTGTGATCCGCCTGCCTCGGCCTCCCAAAGTGCTGGGATTACAGGCGTGAGCCACCGCGCCCGGCCCCAAAACTAGATTTAAAGTAGTAATCCTCCTAGTTACTTCTTCTACCTTCTAAAGAATTAAAAAATTCATCTACAACTAGGAAAATTTCTAGATATATAACATCATAAGAATTCTACCAGAAACACAGACAGCTAAAGTTATTTTCCTAGTACATATATTTTTTGTGGGGGGACGGGGTGGGGGAAGGCGGGTTTTCCAGATAAATTCTAAAAGAGATGTAATACTATTTTCCTAGTACATATTGTCTTTGAACAAATTTCTCCATTCTGCCAGGCATTTTAAAGGCTATATTTTGTTGAAACAAACATACCTTACACATACTTCTCAATAACTCTTACACAAAATAAAACATGCTAACTTTCCCAAGTTGACAGAAATCTAAGCACTAAACAAGGAAGGACTCACCTTGTATCTGGTCTGTTCTCGATCATAGATTTTTTTCAGGGACACTACTTTGGGAGAGAAGAAGTTTCCCAGTTTGGCAAGGTAGACCCCATTCCTAAGCCCCTCCTCCAGTTCTGTGGTGGGAGGCAGATCTTCCCCTAGGCATGCTTCCATCCACCTGCACAAAAGGAGAGAGGATGCAAAAAAAGAAAGGGAAGGTCAGAACTTTTCCTTAGAGATTTTAAGCTTAATTTCCATTCTCCCTGGAGAAGCTTAAATTGAACATAATAGCACTCTTTTACAATCAGTTCCACACACATCCTTACCCTGCTTGGCCCAGTCAGATCTCAGAAGCAGGGAACTTAGGAAAATTCCTGAGCATGAATGCCACTTTCTTCTCTACTCTGCTTTCCTTTGCTGCAGCAACACAGCTAGCTGGGGTCCCCAGATCCTGACTGCTCCATGAAACTTCAGACCCTTTCCCTCAGTCCTTAGGTTGCTCTTTAACAAATCTTAAGAAAAGCCATTTGTAACTGAAGCCACCATTTCAACTGTTCAGAAGCTTACATTTGTTGCTGACATTCTCTTCTAGTTTCAGAACTCAGAATCCACAGTGAATTTCTAGGTCCAAGTTTTAACGATGTTTGGGGGTTATCAAAACAGAATCAATTATTTCAGCTAAAATATTAAAAGAAACTCCTATAGAAGCAGTAAATAATGAATTCTTAGATTTTTGGAGTCAGGGAGGGGGTTGCGAAAAGGATAGGAAAAGAAAACTATTTTCCAAAAAGAAAAAGAATAAAACAAAGAAAAAAAGAAAACTGTATTTTCCCCTTCAAATACCTCTTAGGAAATTTCAGGAAAGCCTAAGATAAAACAAAGTTTAGTTACATGTATTTTCTACCAACAGAAACATAGGTAACTAAAAATCATTTATGGCAATGGTTTTCTTTTCTTTTCTTCTTTTTTCTTTTGAGACAAAGTCTCACTCTATTGCCCAGGCTGGAGTGCAGTGGTGTGATCTCAGCTCACTGCAACCTCCACCTCCCGGGTTCAAGCAATTCTCCCGCCTCGGCCTCCTGAGTAGCTGGGACTCCAGGCGTGCACCACTATGCCCAGCTAATTTTTGTATTTTTAGTAGACGGGGTTTTGTCATATTCGCTCAAACTCCTGACCTCAAGTGATCTGCCCATCTTAGCCTCCCAAAGTGCTGGGATTACAGGCGTGAGCCACTGGACCCAGACCATGGCAACAGTTTTCAACCACTGAGCCACAGAATCCTGTGAATATCTAAGGAAAGCTATAGACCCCTCTCGCAGAAAAATATACATATACTTAAATTTTACATATAATTTCAGAGACTTCATTGACTCTAGGAACCCCAGATTTAAAACTCCTAATTTAAAATTATTCCACTCAATTTTTTTTTTTTTTAGATGGAGTCTCGCTCTGTTGCCCAGGCTGGAGTGCAATGGCACAATCTCAGCTCACTGCAACCTTTGCCTCCCGGGTTCAAGCAATTCTCCTGCCTCAGACTCCCAAGTAGCTGGGATTACAGGCCTGTGCCACCATACCCGGCTAATTTTTTGGTATTTTTAGTAGAGATGGGGTTTCACCATATTGGTCAGGCTGGTCTTGAACTCCTGACCTCAGGTGATCCACCCGCCTCGGCCTCCCAAAGTGCTGGGATTACAGGTGTAAGCCACCGTTCCCAGCTCAATCTTGCTTTTAAATCTACTCTACCTTTAAATCAGCCAGCGTACTCTCTAACTTATGAAACCTGATGGGTATATGAATGGGCCAGATAATTTTCTGGTTGTTTCCTATACTTGATAAGCTTCTCTGCTGTCTTTTCTTTCTTTCAAATAGTAGAACTTAAATTGTCAGAAAGGGGAAAAACGAAACAAATGAGTTTTCCACAAGAGTTGTCATAATAATTAAATTAGATACCAATTTGAAATGGCTACAAAAATCTAAACTATACCTCTACTGAGACTAAAGACCCAAAGGGCAATGTGGAAAAGAATGGCAGTTGTCGGTATGGAAAATAGTGTAGTTCAGGGACTCATCTCATCTTTTTACCGCTAAAAAAGATGCTGATAAAATCATTCTGGCAAACAACTACTGGCAACTCCAGCTCTCAGGGGACAATCTAACTTGGGTTCTCATTAACAGGGAAAACTTAACAACCTCAGCCTAAGCCAAAAATGGCCCTCAAGCACGTAACAGTACCAAAAAAAAAAAAAAAAAAGTTATTTTTCTTTTTAAAATGAAGTAAACACACAGGGAAACTATGGATAAAGAGCACAGTAGATACTTTTGCCTTGAATCAGAGCCAGTTACCAGAGGTATTTAGGTTTTCCTCTTTTCTGAGATTTCTAGACTAAAATAAAAATAAAAGGAGAGCCCATGGTAACATCTCCCACCATTCTTTATATTTCCTTTCCCTAGTCCAACTGCTATAAAACAGTCCTGACTTAGATGTTTCCTATAGCTGGGTAGAATACTCTTCGTGTAACACAGCAGTCAGGTCAGAGAAGAAAGGCCAACTGTGATTTGGTGAAAGCGATTAAGTAGAAAGAATGAGCTAGAATAAATAGGGAGGCAAAATACAGTGTTTCTAAACAACTGCTCAAACCTGAAGCTGCCCTCCAAGTCACCACACGTGTGGCTTGCCCGCCAATCTGAGCTATTTCACAATGGAGTATCACCTGGTTTGTTTATAAAATAAATCAGGACTAGGTAGGACGCGGTGGCTCACACCTGTAATCCCAGCAATTTGGGAGGCCAAGGCAGGCCGATCACTTGAGGTCAGGAGTTCAAGACCAACCTGGACAACATGGAGAAACCCCATCTCTACTAAAAACACAAAAATTAGCCAGCGTGGTGGTGTGCACCTATAGTCTCAGATACTTGGGAGGCTAAGACAGGAGGATCACTTTAACCTGGGAGGTAGAAGCTGCAGTGAGTTGAGATGGTGGCACTGCACTCTAGCTGGGGTGACAAAGTGAAATCCTGTCACAAATGAACAAATTAGGACCAAACGACTTTAAACAGTAAAGTGCCATGTTACTATAATTTTTAATGTTAGCAGAAGTTTAGATTCTACTCAAATTCCAAGATGACACAACAAATACTTCTTTCAGTCTTTCTCTACAGCTCACATGAGATTTCCCCTTCTTCCACTAAATCACAGAATCAGAAAATGTGAGAGCCAGGAAGCAAATGCACTTCTAGGGAAAATCCCTTTGTTTTCAAGGTAATATATATCTAAAAATGGCCAGGCACAGTAGCTCACGCCTGTAATCCCAGCACTTTGGGAGGCCAAGGCAGGAGGACTGCTTGAGCCCAAGAGTTCAGGACCAGCCTGGCAACACAGCCAGACCCTGTCTCTACAAAAAATTTAAAAATCAGCCAGGCGTGGTGGCACATGCCTATACTGTAGTCCCAGCTACCTGAGAGGCTGAGGCAGGAGGACTGTTTGAGCCCAGGAAGTCAAGGCTGCAGTGAGTTATGATCGTGCCACCATACTCCAACCTGGGCAACAGAACAAAACTCTGTCTCAAAAATTATATATATAGATATATATGAGACAAACATTTCTGAAAATTTTATGAATATTTTCCATATTATTTAGTTTCTGAAGACTTTAAGTTTACATAAAAATTTAACCAAGTCCTTAATCAGTCACCTATGTTAGACATTTATGTCATTTCTAAATGTTTTTAACCATTAAATAAAGTGCAAGGAATATCTTTGTGCACAGTGTTCTTCTTTATTTAGAATTAATTCCTCAGGAAAGGTCCTTAGAAGTACAACTCCAAAATTAAAAATACAAACATTGAAAAAGAATCTAACTGCCCATAAGCCTGCTCAGAGGCTAATAATGTATTTGCACTTCCCCCCATTTACAAATAAGAATGAGGCTGATCCAAGGTCATCCAATAGCTAGCGGCAAAGACGGAATAACAAGACTAACTGCTAGATTTATAATCCTCCTCGCAATATCACTGTTGCTCTCACTACACCACCTGAAAAACCAAAAGGGGCTGAGCTCACAGGCTGTCCAAATAGGGAAAAATCTCAGAACTACCATGAAGGAAAAAGACTGGTTTATCTCCACATTCTGCCTACTTAATAATTAAAGGTATTTTAGTTTAACTAAATCCACCACTGATTCTCAACTTAGACACAAAACTTTTCTTATTAAACTTAAACATTTAGAACTGGTTAAGTTTGGCAGGGTGCAGTGGTTCTCACCTGTAATCCCAGCACTTTGGGAGGCCAACACAGGTGGATCACTTGAGGTCAGGAGTTGGAGAACAACCTGGCCAACATTGTGAAACCCCATCTCTACAAAAAATACAAAAATTAGCCAGGTATGGTGGAGTATGCCTGTAAACCCAGATACTACTTGGAAAGCTGAGGCATGAGCTGAGATCGCATCACTGCACTCCAGCCTGGGCAACAGCAGAGCAAGTCTCTGTCTTAAAAAAACAAACCAACCAACCTGGCAGAATTCATTCTCCTACTGAATACTGTGTTCCAAGTATGGTCTGACCAGCCTGAAATGAAACAGGACTATCACCTTCTTCATTATGACACTCCCTAACCACAAAGCCTCTGCTTAAATTATTTAATTACACTTTTTCAATCAACAGAAACTCCTTTTTATCCCAAATACAGAGCTGCTAAACCATATCTCCAGGTTTTTTGTTTGTTTGTTTTTTGTTTTTCAATGGAGTCTGGCTCTGTCACCCAGGCTGAAGTGCAGGGGAATGATCTCAGCTCACTGCAACCTCCATCTCCCAGGTTCAAGCAATTCTCCTGCCTCAGCCTCCCAAGGCTGGGATTACAGGCCTGTGCCACCACATTTGGCTAATTTTTATATTTTTAGTAGAGACAGGGTTTCACCATGTTGCCCAGGCTGGTCCTGAACTCCTGACCTCAGGTGATCCACCCGCCTCGGCCTCCCAAAGTGCTGGGATTACAGGCATGAGCCACCACGCCCAGCCTCTAGCTCTTTTATAATTTAGCTTTATGAAGACTTTTTAAAAATTTTTTTATTTTTTGAGATGGAGTCTCACTTTGTTGCCCAAGCTAGCGTGCAATGGCATGATCTCAGCTCACTGCAACCTCCGCCTCCCGGGTTCAAGCAATTCTCCTGTCTCCAGGGTA